CTACAGAGTTCGCCTCTTAATCATCCGTCGCGCTTGAATACACCCGAGCCCTGCTGTACAGGCCCCTCCCCTTTCCTCCCCCGGAACGTTCCTGGTGTGATTAGGAAAACTGTCTTGTGACGAGACGGCACCGCTATCATGTCGGTTCACCAACACACCTCCGATAATCAACGGCCATAGCCCTTGATGGGATGGATAGGGGAGGAAGCAGAAGAAGAAGAAGGGGGGGTCGATCAGCAGGGCCTCGATGATGAAAAAGCCCGCTAATGACATTTGCCTTCGCCGCGTCGGGGGGTGTGGCCAGGGGTAGGGAGGGACGGACGGAAAGGCTTGTATTGAAAAGAAAGAGACGCGCGCATCTCTATTTGCTTCCAGTCCGCATGACGGGAAACACCCGAGGTTAACCCGGTCGATGGATGGCTAAACAGACAACGGCGAGATTCCCAAGACCGAGTATAGCTGCAGCATCTCGGTAGCGCCGTGCGCGCGCGTGATTGCTGCCAGCTCGCTTTTCCCTCGCACTTCTTCTCTTTCCCCCTCCCCTCCCCTCCCCTCCCCTCACGGGCCCTTGGGTTGCAGCGAGCAAGATTTCTCGCCATCGACGTCACCAGTGGGACGGCCGATTCCCCCGATATATCCCCCCTGCCCTCCCTAGCTACGGGGTTTTGAAACTCCCTGAACGACAGAGAGGGACCAGGACGAGGGGGGCGGCGGCGCCCGCTTGACGGCCTGCCGCTTCATCCTGCCGCGCTCTGGGAGACCAAACCAGGCCCTGTTCGCTCCGTGTAGTCGCTTGCGGCTCGTGCTACGCCAGCGTCTCGGTCTCGGTGCCCGCTCGGTAAGTGGCCGAGATCCCCACCGATGTCGCTGGGATATCCTGGGCCCGCCCGATGGTGAACACGAATTACATGTCGTCCAATATAGATACACACTGGTGGCTCTCTATCATCGGATTAAGCAAAATCCATCAGCGCCGATGGTTTAGTGGTAAAATTCTCCGTTGCCATCCAGCAGCGTCGGGGAGCCGGGGGTTCGATTCCCCCTCGGCGCAGTTTTTTGATTATATCCAATAATATTCAACCCCATCTTCGTGGCTTGTAAGTATCTTATTGTTTGTACATTCACTCTTTCTTCGCTTTCCCGTTTCGACACGTGCTTATGCGGTTGCACGTGTAGGTTTCCTTAATATTTCTCTATGCACTTGGTTAGAATGTCTAACCTAGATACAATGTGTATTGTAATAACTTGGTGACTGACCTACAAGAAAGCAGGAGACATACAGGTACCTACCTACACACACATATATACATGTATACATACATACATACATACGTATATATATACACATGTACGAGATACACTCCGAAAGGTTTGCAATTGATGCTGGTGTAGTCGAGACTAGGCTACCCTCGTGAACCACATCCGTATCATATCAGGGATTAACTATAGCAGAAGCAGCCGCCGCAAGAAAACCGAGAGCATTCGCTCTAGAGCCCCCTGAATGCAATGTCAGTATATCTCCTGTGATACAGTGCGGCTCAAGTAGGCCAAAGCACGCCGGACTTCTTCCGTTCGACAGACAGTCTGGCTATTCAACAAAGACAACGAGAGGCCTCTCCTGAGCAAGATCAATTGCCAAACACCCATGCCAAGGCGTTGTCGCTGGCGGCGTGTACATGCCATGCATGACCTGGAGTTTTTGGGCACCTCTTCCCCGCCAAAGTATGACATGGTCAACCGGAGGAAGTCCCTCAAAACTTCATAATCATATCACTCCGGCTTCTCTTTCGGTTTACCGTTTGGTTCACAACCAAGCCACCAGGGGATAACAGGTCTGTATCCGTAGGAAAACATTCGCAGCGTGGCAAGGTGAAAGGGCCGGTTAAAGGGAGGCCAGATAGACTTCCCGAGGAATACTGATGTCCCCCGAAAAAAAAGGAGCACCGATAATAGCTAGTCAAGGCCGAATCATAGCATCGGAAGACGTAAAGCGTTGTTCCATCTATGGTCATCATCGTCCATCTAGAGACAAAGGGGTAAGTAGACTGTGGCCGCCTCCATGCTGCTGCTGCCATTGTAGCCTCACTGCAGTGAGCAGATGCGTCCTAGGATCGATTCACCTTGACCTTCCACGGACGCAGGATTTCACTTGCCTGAGAAACTTGGCTTGTTTCCCCGGATGGCGAGAGAACCCATGAATTGAATCTCCTCATCTATTGGAATGTACTGGGTGTATCTCACAGCTGGATCAAGACAAATCGCATGTTCATTGAAACTGGATATGGAGAAAAGGACATGGAATCACGACGTGATGATTGCTCCCCCTCATGAGGCCCCTTTCTTATCAGATCATTGGTCTACACCTCGCCCATATTCGACATCGGCATGGGAGTAAGAGGCCACAGAGACCCCGCCCCAGTCAGCGACAAAAGGCACCCAGAGATGAACGAGACAAAGTTGGCTTTGCAACGATCGAACCCTAAGCGCCTTCGAGACAGCACGATGTATGGGGGGGTGTCTCCTGCGTTCAAGCCTCTGGTCTGGACAACAAGACACCAACCACACCCACCCTCCGAGTCGACTGCGGCCGAATCGAAAACAGACCTGCCCGTCCCATGACCGTTGGCTCAGGTCGACCCAAGCACTTCCCAACACCCCTCTTGCCATAAAACACAGCTAGCGAGAAGCCAAGCAGAGAGCCAGGAGTCCCTGGAGCAGCACAGGCTTTCCCCCCGTTGCCTGTGACGCGCATGGCCACCTTGCAAGCCCGACTTCACGACAAGCGCAAGATCCAGACGCTCTTTTCTCGGATGGAGAGAGCTGTAGACCCGGCGGGCGGGCGGGCGGACGGGCCTGGGCCGTTCCTCCAGCGCTTGGCTGCTGTTGTTGGCTATAGTCGACGGGAGCCTGAGGATGGCATATAGACGAGGCCGGGGTATGTTAGATCCTCAGGTGGCGCCCTGAAGCTCCGTGCTTGACTTCGATATCATACATTGTATGCAATTCTGGTTTCTACAAGGGGGGAGACGAGTGAAGAACAGAGCCGCGAGTCGCCGCCCCTCTGCCCCCTCTCCCAATCCCTGTGCCTCCGGTCTTGGTAGAAACCTAGGAAGCCCGCCTAGAACCTACGATTTTGGAGTTAGCCGGACGGTTCGATTCGCGAGAGCACATGGGCTGGAGGGGGGCGAATGCACCAGAACGGGCGTCGCGATGTCCGCAGCCCCGCGTCGAGAGGGGAAGGGAAAAGGGCTAATAAGGTACCGATCCAAGGCGGTTCCCAGTAGGATCGCACAGGTACACCAACATTGACCGTACGCAGTCACAATGAACACGGTAAAAGTATATCATGCCCGGTACTCAACACAATACAAGGTTTAAGAAGAAAAATGCCGTGGGGGTATCCGGGCATCTAGGTACGCCTACTGACTGCAGATAAACAGCCAAAGCATATTGGCTCAAAGAGCACCTCTTAGGATAGAGGTACTGGGAACCTAACGTCGGCTGGTCATCTGGTCTACTCATCCAACCATGGAAAAATCGGTTACGACAGACACGCCGTTAAGTCTTTGCGGCTATCCGATGTCTGAAACAGCTCTCTCTCTCTCTCTCTCGCTGTCTCTCTCGCTTGTATTTCGCTTGTATTTCGCCTCGTAAACGCTTTCAGATGACTCGTCTAACCTACCCCCCCTCTCATCGTCCAACCCACTGGTATCGATCAGATCTCGCAACAAACCTCGGCAGCAATTGGCCATTGCTCACACACCATCGTCACACCAGTCGCTAGAAAGTGTAGAGATAGTGAGATAGTGAGTGTGTGTGTGAGAGAGAGAGAAAGAGAGAGAGTCAGATCGAGCTGGCAGACGCGTAGGTGGCCCAGGCCAGGCCCTCTTGTGCCCTCGTGCTTGCTCATGTTTGTTGATCAACCAAGCAGTTAAGTTGTACGTTCCCGGTTGACAAGTGCTTTGAGTACCTTGCAGGATTTACCTGCAATAGCCGTATAAGTCCGGTAGCAATTCGTCTGCATCTCACAAGCCACACCATACGGAGACCGAAGGCGAAAGTCGAGAAGTCGGCACACTTTCTCTCTCTCTCTCTCTCCCTCTCTCTCTCTCTCACACACACACACACACACACACACACACTCTCTCTCTCTCTCTCTCTCTCTCTCTCTCTCTCTCTCTCGTCCTCGCCGACGTCATTTGGCAGCGGGTTGCACCGCGGGGTCCCCCTCCACCCGCGCGGATCGACCCCGCCAAAAAGCTTCAATTGATGCGCTCCGCCCCCCGCAATTCCATTGCCGGCTCCTTACAACTTCTTTGTTTTTTTTCTTCCTCATTGACAAAAAAAAAAAAACCAAAAACGCAGCGAGTTGAAAGGTTGCGCGACGTTTTCCTGTAGATCCGAATCCCAAGAAGCCCCCGCGTCGTCCGCATCAAGTTGACCGTGAGCGGAACCGCGGGTCCGGCGATGATGATGAATCATAGACGCGACGGCCAATAAACATGCACACACACTCTCTCTCTCTTCCACTCTCTCTCTCACACACACACTCTCTCTCACGCCCACATAGCTTTCGCGTCCCCCTACCGAGCCACGAGGAACGAACAAACGAAGCAAAGCCCAACACCGGCCCATGAATCCCGTCAGAAAGCTGACAAGCCGCGTAAGCCAGCTCTCTCACCACATCGCGCCCTCATCCACCATGGCCTCGACATCGGCCTCCTCCTCCCCCGGCCCAGCGCCCTGGCGCGCCGCCTTCCTCAAGAACGTCAACGACATGGCCTCGCCCGAGTTCACCCTCGCGACGCTGCACTCCGCCCCCGCCCCCGCCCCCGCCTCGGCCGTCCCGCGCCTGCGCACCGTCATCTTCCGCGGCCTCTGGGCCGAGCTCCCCGTCAACCCAAAGAACACCGCACCCCTCAACCCGCCCGTCTACGAGTCCGACCTGCTCACCCTCACCACGGACGCCCGCATGGCCAAGGTCCCGGACCTCTTCGGCTCCGCCGCCGCCGCCGCCGCCGCCGCCGCCGCCCCTCGGGGCTCCTTCTCCTCCTCTGGCGGCGGAGGGCCCGTCGAGGCGTGCTTCTGGACCGGCGCCAAGGTGCAGTGGCGCGTGCGCGGGGAGGCTCACGTCCTGGGCCCCGACGTCGAGCAGCCCGACGCCCCCGGCGCCGCCGCCGTGCGCGAGGCCCTCCGCGCCCGCATGCGCCGCGTCCCGGATGCCGAGGCGCAGAGCCGGCGGCGCGAGGACCTGCCCGAGGGCAAGGCGGCCGCGGACGACGACTGGAGCTTCGCCCGCGAGGTCACGGCGCACTTTGGGAACCTCAGCCCGGCGATGCGCGGCACGTTCCGGAACCCGGAGCCGGGGACGTCGCGCAAGGCGAACCCGGCCGACGGCGACCACGCGCTGGGGCACAAGGTCGAGGACCTCCACGACGAGGTGGCGCGCGCCAACTTCCGCGTCGTCGTCATCGTGCCGACCGAGGTGGACGAGACGGACCTGAGCGACCCGGAGGACCCGCGGCGGTGGCTGTACCGGTTCGTCGGCGCGTCGGCCGACGCTCGCCCGACGGATGGTGCGGAACGATCCAACGGGTGGGAGAAGATTGAGCTGTGGCCTTAGAAGACGTAGACAGGGGCGCGCGGGGGGGGGGGGGGGGGGGGGGGGATGGCCATCTGTTGGACGCTGCTGCATGCAGGCCTCGGTGGAGAAGTGAGATATGGAGGGGGGAGGCGGAATAGATTCACTCGACTAGAGACGCCCTTCATCCGTGGTGTGGTTCGTCCCAACTGAGGACATGCTGCCAAGTCTACCAGAGAAAAAAGGCACCATCACATTTGCCCTCATCTCACATCTCATCTGCTCACCATCGTCCAACATTGACTTTTTCGAAACACGCACATGTATCACAGCGGGTTGTTCGGCGGTATTTAAGCCACATGCATCACTCCCGGCGTCTGCTCAGTCATAAACCCGTCAAAAAGAAGAAGAAGAAGATGAAGAAGAAGAAGAAAAAAGAAAGCAGTCGGCTCGGGAATGACTCGCCTGTGAGAGGGACAGAGGTGGGGGAAGCTGATAGGCCGAGCCGTGCCGTGCTTACGCCCCCCCTCTCAACACGCCTCACCGGTCGATCGAAGAAAAGGGATGCCCCGTCCACCCGTCCATATTCGTTCACCTCGCTCGAGTCTTGGTGGCGTCAGGGGGGGTTTGGTTTGGTCCGTTGACGTTGGGTGAGCCGGCAGGCAAAACAATACTGCGTGTCCGGGGTCGACGGCCGGATATCTCTTTGTGGTTAACGCCGCGTCCCGACGGGGTCTGGTCTGCAGTCTGTGTGTGTGTGCAGTGTTTGGCCGCGCGGGATCCGATGTTCTCACGCACGGCGGGCGCCCGCGGATTCAAAAAGGTTGGGTGAGACATGGGCGGAATTGGCGGTTTCTGCTTGTTGGTTTTGTCTGTTGGTCGTGTTGCATATTGCTCTTCCGCGAGCACACCAAGCCGGGGCACGCGTGTGGGCTTGCTTGCATGATGGACGATTTGAGTCTCAAGGCAAGCCGCCCAAAGCATTGCAGAAGAAAGCAGCCCTTGCTGCGCTGCTTGCCTCCGCCCACCCCCCCCCTTCTCTCTCCCCTCGTTCAGTCATCGTCCGCTCTAATGCCCACGGTAACCCTAATATAGTGAGGAGCAATATCGGTGAAGAATCATCTCGAAGGCCATATTTTCATGGGGGCCCCGCTGCGAGCCACATGGCGATTCCGATCATCGCAGCCATGTTCCTCGTGTCGTAAGCCAATTTCACCCTCAACGGGGCATGAAGAGAGAAGCGAAGTATCCGTGCCCTAGGAAAGGGTGGACACGAGTATGGTGTAAAAACTCGTTCGCATCTCTCAGCCCACCCGATCCATTGCTAGTTTACACAGCAACGGCAGAAACAATTGGCTCATTATCCTGATTAGGTCCAATCCGCCGGCCAGCAGACGACCATCTCCAGGGCTGAAAGGTCGAGCTCGGGTGGCAGATGCTGACAGACGATTGACCAGCCCCATATACATCCTCCTTGCCAGAGCCGGTCTCCACGGCTAGTCGGTCAGTCAGTCATTCCACATGGCAGCCATGCAAGCCCTAAGCTACATGGGAAACGCCTTCTCCACCCCGGATCTGGGACTTCTGCTTCCCCGAGCCCTTGACGACCGGTCGTCATTTGCGCGTACCTACTATAGTATAGCGTGGTTGCAGGGAGGAAAACGAAGAAAGTGGGCAAGTAAAAAAGGAACCAGACAAGGGGGGGAGGGGGGAGGCTGGTGGCTCTCTCTCTCTCTCTCTCTCTCTCTCTCTCTCTCTCTCTTTTCTTTCTTTTCTTTCTTTTCTACCGATGGGTCTTCCGAGGCACAAGAAGAGGTGATTACAACCCCCAATGAGACGAACATGCGCCCGTGAGCAGCAGCATGGCAAAGCGATGTGACATTTGTTGGCAGTCAGCCCGCCTGCTGAATACATGAACCCCCTTTCCCTTTTGAGGTCGGAAGCCGCATGCTTACGCACGGGTACGTTAGATGTTGGTAGAGCAGAACGTACTCCGTACTCTGGTAGTATTGAAACAAGGCCCGGCTGCAGCTAGCGATCGGTCTCTACTGCGTCCTGCCATTGCCGGCGCTCACCAAGCGATGCCTGGCGCGTGATTGATGGCATGTTGGTGGGGAGAATATCACGGCCAGGAGGGCCATGTTCCAGATTCGTTAATGGCACAGGGTATGGAAACTCTAAACCGCGCGAGTGTGAGGAATTGTTTCCGCGAATTTGAGCATAGGTCGCCTCAGCCGATGAGCATAGGTCGGCGATCATTACGGGATATCCCCGGCGATTTCAGCCGTTTCTCTCCCGCCCCTCCTGACCTGAGGCCGTTGACGGTGCGAAAAAAAAAAAAAAGGGGGGGGGGGGGGGGCTTTGTCTGTGGCAAGTCTCCTTTTTAAACGCAAGTTACGTTGCGTCGTAGTTCAATCGAATGGCCGACCCTCTGACCGCTCTGGCTCACATAACCGCCAAGGCAGCATCTCGCCATTAGGTGCCGTGGGTATGGATGGAGCCTCGAGTGCCTTGATTCGCCGCCGTATTGGCTGCTCGCGTACCCGCTGCTTGTCGATGCGTTGGGGGGAAAGGCAAAGGTCGGGGTAACCGCCTCGTTGCAGTTTATCATCGCCCCCCCGAAATAACCACCCGATGTGACATCGCCGGTCGAGTTGGCGGAGTCGCCAGTATCGCTCCCTCCGCACAGCTCCTGGGAGCTCCCATGCACATGAGCGGCGACTCAGCGGACGCGTACCTTTTGGACTAGGACTTCGCAACAGAGCTTGATGTGATTCTCCGTCATGGTGAGCTCCCGGCCGAGTTCCGTAATAAGATGGCGGTCGTGCGCTGTTGTATAGTCAAGCACTTTGGGGTTGCCCATGCTGCCGAGTACCTAGGCAAGGATTCTCCTTGGCTACCTCGAACGTGGACGCGTAGTCGCCTGCCACTCGGACCGTCCCTGGGGCCGAGTTTCGGTTAGGTTGTAGCATCGACCAAAGAATTGAGTTGCCAGCTGCAGTCTGGCGGATCCGAGGAAGAAGCGCCCAAATCGATTCTTTTGACCAATCTTGTAATTACTAGGCAACGGCGTGTATACAGGATACGTTTTCAAAGCCACGGGCCGCTTCAAGTTTGCAACCCGGCGCGAAAATGGAACTGACAGGATCGACCAACGGCGGATACGAGAGCATCAGACATCGGGTTAGTGGGCCTCCTGACACGCGGAGCGCAGTTCTTCCCACACGCAAGCAGTACTGTCTGTCTCCCCTCCCTCGGATCGAATACAACGCCGCATCGAGCTCTGACGAACTTTGCCGGACAATGGTCAGTGTGCTGCCGCTATGCGGACTTAAGCGCATTATGCCGCTCATGCGTGAATGTTTGGGGTGTGGCGGGTGCTGGCATTGCTTTTTATGGTTATGAGGCCTTCACCGTCATTTTCGATTCGGTTGTCGAGCGGGCTTGTTGTGGGCAGGGTCCTGTGCCCATGAGCTGCATGGCGAATCCAAGCCGTGAGTTTCCTGGAGACATAACAGAAGCCCCGTCATCGTGACGTGCCACAGGTAGCTCTGCTGCTCAATGTTTAGTATCGTTAATTAGCACCGTCTGTTGTCATCTGTTTCGGACCGCATGCATGAATAGACAACCGGCTAATGGACATGGGAAAACATCGATCGAATGCCTGTCTTAAACACACGCCACTGTTTGGTTATTAGACTTTGGGCTCGTCAGTATTCGTAAACCAAAAGTTCAGATGCCCCAATGCTTGTTGTCATTGACCGCAACCAACAAGACACACGGGCAACGCAACGTGCAGAGAGGCCTGTTCGGTATCGACGTCTTCTGTAACTCGGGTGCCTCTTGATCTCGACGCGGCCCTGTAATACTGGTATCGCAGACAAGGTTCTGAGCATCCCAACTGATCTGCCAGTCAAGCGCACTCAACCCCGGTTCAATGTTCGCTTGAGGCTCTCGCTAGCCGTATTGTTGTTGTCATGCAACTCGAAGCCGTTCTCAGCCAAAGGATGATTGTCTGGACCGCAGCCTATTCTCTATTAGGTAGCTGGTTGGAGGCAATCACTTTGCGGGGATTACCCTGGCATAGGCACCGGCTGTTCAATTGAGAGAGGCTCTAGTTCGTCGTCCCTGTCGATTGCCTGACTCTGCCCCGGCTGTGTCGGGCGGAGGGAGCCGGCCAGCTCGGTTGTGTTTGTAGGTTCGCAACATATATGGTGACCTATTGTGACTGCCCCTTTGGCCAGGAGCTCCGATTGCTGACTGACCGGTCTTCCGTTCTGTCAAAACTCTATCTATGCTTCTGGAGCTTCTGGTAGCTGCAACCAATAAATTCGCAGGGTCATTGGTCCAGCGCGACCGTTCGATGCACTGACCGAATCATTGAGGAGCGTCGCCGTATGAGTTAGGCACACGTCTACGTGTGCATGCATGTAAAAGGAAAACCGGACGATGTAGTCTTTTGGTACCGTCGGCCAAGGAATTGTGGCTTGTTTTGAGAGCTTTCAGGCGCGGGAACTGACCTTGAACGAGACTCTTGGCCGTTGCCAGCCTGAACGTCTCTGTTGTCAGCCATTTGCGTACGGCCTACCGTATATTGCACAATGTCGGTAACAGTGAGAACCGACGTCAAGAGCACAGAATAGTCTTTCGTGGGTAGTCGGCTTGTAGCGCTACTGAGCGTCATGAGGCTTGGGGTGCTTGTCGTCTAATGTAGCCGATGTACAAATATACGGACCACCTTCAGAGGCACGCGCCAGGTTGCAGAGGACTCCCAGGAGCAGCAAGGGAAAAAAAAAAAAGAAAAAAAAAAACACGATGCCTGCGGTTAAATGTGCCGACGCATCAAAGCTCGATTAGCTTACTACGTAGGCCGACAAAGAATCGGATTGGTTGCGAGCAACCCGTTTGATCTGCAACGGCATGCACGGGCAACCGAGGAGACAAGTCGGTCGCAAGAGAAGACTGCACGCCGTAGGCGCTGGCGGCCGTTGCATACTACATGAGATGGAGAAACGGCAGTCTCTCCGCTTTGGTCAATGTCCGAGAGGACCACATCGGGCACTGGTTGGCCGGTTGGAAGTACATCTGTTGAGATGCGCGCTCGTCGATGGGACGCGGGGGTTCTGCTGCGACATGCTTGGCAGCTTCCCTGCCCTTGCTTGGCCTGCGATTTTATGAAGACGTGGCTGTTTGTTCGTTTTGGGCTTGGGCATGTCGAGCCAGCAGTCGTAGGAAGTGTTGTAGCATCCATCAGCATTCGAACCACGGTGACGCCTGGCAACAAATCCAGGGCATTCCCTGCTAAAGATTGCTGTTAAATAACGGCATAAGCCATACACACCGGTTTGCGAGGTCATGGGCGGTAAAAACGGGTCTGATCTGCGAGATTGAACTCTGTAATCTCTCTTCTGCTCCCGTGAGAATGTTGATCGGAGTCATGAGGCGTTAGTTATATCAACTCGTCCCAGTCGTAACGAGAACGGGACTTCGAAGACGCAGGCAAAAAGGAATGAATGAGCTACCTCAGTTAGCGCACGTGCGGTGACGAGGAACAGGGCTAGCAGCGGAGATCGACGGGGGCGCTGCAGTGTGCATGTTTCAAATCGGCCTTTCCTTTCCCAGGTGGTTTGTTCGAGAAGGTCGGAAAGAAGCCGAGTGCGTTCCGCTATTATTGTCGGCCACGCATTGATGGAAAGTTTAGGATCCAATTCCGTCTTCTCCATAGCGGCCAGGGAAGGAAAAAGGAACGTTGCGGTCGGCGGGCTATTCGAAAACCCCTTGAGGGTTGGGGATATCATGTGTTTGGTTTGGTTTTGAAGCACAGCTGGCAGTGGGCCAATATAGCACGATCCTTGGCCTTAGCAGCATATCTCTCTTTATTTTGAGCCTGCATTGACTTGGCGAGCTTGATGATGTGTGTACACTAGTGTATCTAGTGCCCGTACACTAGTGTTAGGTGTAGATCACACCCAGGGTCGGTTCCTTCGACTGGTAGATAGTATCCGCCCCGTTGTGGGAGCAAAAAGCAACGCAGCCAGATTGCCAAGTCATTTAACACTATGCCGATCGTAAGCCAGCCAGTCGCAGGTCTCCATGCGCCGTTACCCAGACATGGCATAGGCTGTGGTGCCCGTGCAAAGAGGGCGGCGGGGACAGCGTCGCAAGTCGGAACCTCGTCCGACGGACAGAATGTGCAAAGGCTGGGGGCGGCGACGGTTGCCCTAGTGGGAAATGTTTTGGTTGACTGATGCTACTCTGTAGCTTCTATGGTTTCTCTCTTCTCTCAATTCGTCAGGCGAGGTACCTGAGGCACTAGGCGGAATCGGACGAGCAGCAAAAGAATGTGCCGGTTCGTTTTGTTCCAAGGTGAGATCTCGGGGGCAGGCCTCTCTCTGATGTGTCTCTTGTGTGTGTTGGTGGCGTGTGGTTTTGAGCCGCAACAGAGGGCACAGGGCATGTGTCAAAAACGTCACGGACGAGGGTATGACTGACCAGGAGCTGCCTACCGTGTCGAAGAGTGCCGAGAGTTTCGGAGGGGGACGTCTTTGTGTGTGCGCGCACCAACCGCAGACTCCATAGATGATCGGCGAGCCCTATTGGAGACGCATCGAACGAAGTACCTCCGTAGTAACAGGAGACGAAGGCGGAGGCATGGCAGCTAATGTAAAGTTCGCAACGGCCGTAATGCTTTCTCCCCGTTCGGATAGAGGGCTAGAGAAGTGGGCTGCATCGCAGGGTCTCAGTCGGTCCAACAGTGCCCAGATACGTACATCTGCGGTGACAGTCGGCATGTTTCTGACTCTGTCATTTCCGTGCCGCACTTTGCATACTGCCACGAGACGGTATAGGGGTGTGTGTGTGTGTGTGTGTGTGTGTGTGTGTGTGTGTGTGTGTGTGTGTGTGTGTGTGTGTGTGTATGCTGTGTGTGCTGTGAGTGCAGTGCGTGCGCATGCAAGTGCTAGGCCGCCGCCTGTGGCCGCACTAACGCCATCCCATGCGGGGATTGGACTGGTCGAGATAAGGTAGAGTACGTAAACGTCTGTCTGACGTTGTCAAATTGGGTTCCCGAGCTTCGTCATTGGCGGCGGGGAACAAGTTGATGATGCGAATGGAAAGGCACAGGTGTGTTGGTTCGGAGTGCTGTGTGCAAGCCGTATCTTGGAGTGTGCTCAATGGCTGCATTTGACGATAGTGAGTGATGAGGCGCTGTTGAGTTTGAGGTTGAGAATGAGAGACCAACCGGCCGCCAAGACGGAGGAGCACGCAATCGGCGGTGGGTTGGATGTCCAAGAATGGGGTACCGTTGGCATCATGTGATGTATGCGAGGGGGTCTCTGCCACCTCACCCCCAGGGCAATCCATCCGTCTTCATAGGGGACGGAGTAAAAATAACGGCAAGCAATGTATCCGTACACGGTGCACCAACAACAGCTCTCGATATTCTCATCCTGAAGCGCAACGCTGACAGACTCACGGCGACAGATGGCGCCTGCTAATTAATTAGCACGTGGCCGTCGTAGTGTCAGCAGCAGCAAGCAGGCCAGCACCTCGTACACTGACTGACTGGATTGGCTGATCTTGGTCGGACTCCAACCGCATTGGGGGGAAAAAAGGAAAAGGCCAGTCGAGGATCTTCGTCCTGCTTGCAGGTGGGATGGAGCAGTAAGGTTGGTCCAGTATTCGTAGATTGGTAGGTCCCGGTCGTTGTTCCCCTCTCCTCTCTCCTCCCCTCCACTCTCTTCTCCCTTCCCCATCCAGTCTTGACATGCCATTCGTTGTCAAATGTCGAGCGTGTGAGTGAGGATGGATGTGCGTGTGCCCAGACAAGTGTAGGAAGCGGAGTACATTCGTTCGTTGTCTTTGCTGAAGCTGAAGCTCCCCGTGCTTCAAATCCGTTCGCACTCTCCTTCCAGATGACCACGGAGGGAGGAGTCCACGGCAGATGCAAGAACGAATCCGCGCTCAAGGAAGAAGATGCATCCGGACCCTTGCACCTGCCTACTGCTGCCGAGCCCGACAAACTGCGCAGGACCCAACGGTGCTCGCTGGTTGAATGAGCGGGCAAGAAGAAAGAGAGGAGCAGACATCTGCATCGATGGATGGATGGATTGATGACTGATTGATTGACTGACTGACTGACAACATGTTGACTAAACGAATCGATGGATTGAAATCAGACAGACAACCCGAAGCAGGTAGGCACGTACCTTCCCTCCATCCGTCCATCCGTCCATCCCTTGTCTGTTTCCATTCCTTCTTTCCTTTTCCTCCATGCCGTCCTCCCGTCTCTCCTTCCTTCCTTCCTAGCCTTGCCTTGCCTTGCCTTGCCTTGCCTTCCCTTCCCTTAGTATGCGGAGTATCCGTGCCGACTCCTCTTTCTATCTGCCTGTAGTTCTCCATTACATTCCCCCACTCTTTCCTCTCTTTCCCCCCTGCTCGGCCTTGCGCGGAAGGAAGGAAGGTGTAGGTACGTACCTCGTACCCTTTTTCTTAGCTTTACGGTTCCCGTACTCTTCACTGTAAGGGTGAAGGTGGGCCTGGTCTTTAATCTCCTCCACACCACGGGCGTGTGTGGCCCTCCTCGTTCTTCTCCGTCCTCTTCCCCCCCCCTCCCCTCCACACCTCCCTCCACTCTCCGTCCGGCGCCCATCGCTTAGATAGGTATTTTGACCCCTGTTTCCTTGCTCCACGATGTCTTGGTTCATGTACCTCCCTGTACGTACCGTTGGCTCCATTTCTGCTCATAGGCAGGTAGGTACCTTCCCGTCTCCTCTTGTCTCCTGTTTTTTCGCTTTACTTTGCTTTGCCTGCATCTGCATCTGCAAATCACACAACACAGAGGTGCCGCTCTTCCCAGGGTACTTTGGTTTGTACGAATGAACGGCCACAAGTCTCTTCCTTGCCGTACCTACTTACCTATACTACGTAGGTAGGCAGTTTACTACGTACATTATCACACATTATTACCCGCCTTGCTCCCTGTCTGTCGTCGCCGCCGCCAACCTTTTCCTCTCCTCGTTCCATTGTCCACCCCACTGTTGTTTTCACATTGCACAGCTTCTTCCCCTCTCATAAGTGCTCTCCCCTCCTTCTCCTCTTCCCTCTTTTTATGCGCTGGAGGGGCCTCGAAAACGAGACAGAGAGAAAAAGAGAGAGAGAGAGAGAGATAATTCACCGTCTCCGAGGTGGATATAGTCGCTCCTCGCCCCACCCGGTTCCCCTACAGTCAGTCAGCCATCGTTGCAGAAAAAGCGCCTTTCTTTGACCTTGAATCTCACCGTCCATGCCAGGAAGGGAAATAAAAGAAAACACACACACACACCTACACACGCCCACCCACAAAAAAAGAAATCCTTGCCCTGCAGGCTCACATCAATTCCCGCCTCATCTCGCCCTTCTCACCTTTCCCTCTCAGCGCTAGCGGCCCTCACGTAGTGTGGCTGACCCCCCCCAACCTTGACGCCAAGCATACATACAAACGCCATACCTTGCCTCGGAGACTTGCTTTGGATTTAGAAGAAAGGTAGATACGATACCTCCACTCGGCCGCATATCCACCACAGTCCTTGGACTCATCGTTCAACCCTCGTAGCCTTCTCCAGCCTATCCATCTACCGATCCGTCCACCGTCTATCCACCTCTCTACCTTATATCTCACCGGCCTCTTCCCCCCCCGTCCATAACTGACCACCCCCGAGACCTTAGAGACTCCCGCGCAGATCTCGTGTCGCCCTCGCTTTCTAGCTGCCGATCACACGCCCAATCACGGCTCCTTGTCTCCCGACCCCCAGAGTCTAGGTCTGGACCTGTCACCTTTCTGCCCGACACAAATCAATCCATTAATACCGCGTCTCCTGCCCGTTCGACCGCCGCCGCCGCTGGGTTTATTACTCCCGCCGCCCACGTCTACCTATTCGCCAGACACCCACCTCTATTCTCTCGACGACCTGGCATCCGCCATCGACGTGCCCCAATCCCGCTCGACGTTTACCGGTCTCTTCGCTTCCGCTACAACACCCCCCCTTCAAGTGAGACAACACGCAGACGCTTACCGGCGGATCATGCTACGCCCATAAGCACGTCGATCTCTTCCTCTTCCTATACCCTTCCCCGTTCTTAAGTCTGCAACGCCGATTGCCGCCCATTAATTCACCGAGAGGAAACCTCAAAACCTACTTCATTTGCCGCTACATCCCATTTCTGCCAACACCCCGACCGCATTCTGATCCATTCTCTGGCACGCATAGACGTTGAGAATTGTTCTCAACGTCTCGCCTGCAACCGTATCAAAACGGCCAATCCACGGCAGAAGCAGGACCGCTTCACTTTGGCCATGGACGCCCTCAAGAATATCGTCAACAATGTCCCCGAATGGCTGGACCGACTCGATCAGCTCGGAGAACAGATCGATCAGCGCCAAGTTGAGCTCGCAGCACTAGGCGCCGACAAGTCGTCGCGCTCACTCAAGAACCGCGGATCCACCGAATCACTCAAGCTCAAGGACGAACCCTCCGAAGCCATTCCCCCACCCGCCGACGAAACCCCTGCGAACGAGACAAGTGCACCACGACCGGTTGTCATCACGACGCCAACTGCTCAGGACGGGCCGACGGAGAAAGATGAGCCTTCCAGCCCTAGCAGCGGAACGCCGTCGGCTCTTAAGAAGCAGACCCGACGTGCAATGGCTTTGGCACAAGCCCGTGCCCGTGCCGTCGTCGAGAAGAGACCTCGTCCAAATTCGGTCATGTCGACTGAGGAGGACGCTCCGGCCAAGTATCGCTCACGGAAACTCGTTCTCGTCTATTACGACTCGTACGTAGAAAGCTTCTTCGAAGAGCTGGTCAAGTTTGTATCGGCAAGCCGGAACCTGATGCGGAAGGCGAAAATGGCAGCAAAAGTGGCTACGATACGCCGCTTGGCGGAACGGGAACAGCCCGAGGGAGACGACGCAGAGAGTGCCGGGGACCTCCAGCCCGACACCACTGGCGGTGCTGGCGCCGCCTCCGATGCGTTGCCTTCTTTGCGGTACATGAGCACAAGGCGAATGGGCCCCAACGGTCGCAAAGGATCCTCCTACGCACGCTCCGGTGCAGGTGGCGCTATGATGGGCGATAGCGGACCAGACGCTTATGACGAACTTGACAAGTGCCTCGAATACATCCAGAATCAGTCCGAACATGCCGCTCATCAGTTCTTGCGTGACGGGGATTGCACTGAGGAGATTGGCAACATTCAACGCCGGCTTGCGGAGACCAAAGACCTGGCTCAAAAGGAAATGGAGCGAGTCGAGAAGGAAGAGCCCGAGCTACTGAAGGCCACCAGCGAAGCGAACAAGGTGCGGACTCTTCGACCGACGAGCATGCGCCGTGAGCTCACGGCCGGCAAGGACAGCACCCCGTCGCCCATCACACCCAGAAGGGCCGAGGTTGACTCGAGGATTGAGGCGGAGAACAAGACACCGACCGCCAAAACGATTGAGGTTGACATGTCCAAGCCCCTGGAGGCGGACGATGCGCCCATTGAGGCGGACGACGAGGGAATCGACGACATGGAAATCACGTTGCCACCCAGGCTGAACTATCGGTCTACCCGGGGGATGCGCGGCTGAGCACGCATCGCCCTTGTTTGGATTCGATACCCAATCTCTACGGAATCGCGTTTTCCCACATCTATTTTAATGACTGATACGGCCTCGCCCGGGGAGAAGAAGGGAAGGGGGAGCATTCATGGACCAAAAGTATTGGATGAGACAGGAGGGCGTTGGTTTCCATCCAACGACAAAAAAGAAGAAGAAAAAAAAGGGTTCGACGAGAATTACCCTATGATATCTGGAAAACTAAATGCATAGCATAGCGTCTGTTGCTTCTATACTACCGCCCGAGTAGCATTGGTGAGGTTTTTGGGTCGTATAGTTCAATTTGGGAAGAGGGTCGTTGGGCATCGCGGAAGGGGGGTAAGGGGGGTGAGGTTGGGCGGAAGAGGAGAGCTGGGAAAGCCTCGAGAGCAAGGACAGAGGGGAATGCAGAAGCCTGCCTGAGAGGAGTCATGTTCCTTTTATTTTTTATTTTTTTGCTTTAGTTTACGGAGGAGGCGACACTTGGGGGGGGGGGGGGGGGAGGGAGTTGGATGAGACGTTATCTTTTCTCGCCCTCTTTTCCAACTGCATTCCCCCATCGAATCGAGGCTCCGGGCCCAAGACGGTCAAAAAGGAGTCAGGCCCATCTGGGGGGCAGTTTCTGGTTCACCGGGTCTTCAGAGAATATGTTCCGACGCCCGGCCAAACGCGAGGCACTTAACATCCTTTTTTTTATCCTTTTTTTAATAAAAACGCGTCGGTGTTCCATTGGTTTGGGGCTGTGCTGAGGAGTGATAAGACGTTGCTGAGGGCGGTCATCGTCGCGTTATTCAGACAGGTATTATCGATTCTGCATTGAGGCCCTAGTTGCGCAAGCCGATGATGGCCAAAACCGCCCATGCCAATGCCGCCCATTGCTAACCGCACATTTCTCTCTTCTTCTGCGTCCATTTCCTTCTCTATGCCTTTATGCTGTATCTCTACATAACTCATTTCTGTGTCTCCTGCGTCTGGCTCGACCCCGTCGCGGCCGCAAGAATGCCAGCGCCCTTGATGCCGCCGTCGTGGCAGGGGCTCAACACGACCCGCACCGGCGGCGGCTGGTCGTGGTAGTCGAGCCTCACAATTTTGTCCAGAAAGTCCTGGGTATCAGCGAGGTAGTCCTGGAAGTGCGAGATGCAGCCGCCGGTGTAGCCGACGCCCAGCTCCTTGACGGGTGTCACGGCGCCACCGCCTGGCACTGGCTCGGGGATATCCCCCGCCAGCTTGAGGAGGGCCACGGTGGCTGCTGCGACGATGCCTGCGGCGCGGACTTGGATGGCCTTTGCGATGTGGTAGAGGGCGACGGCCGTCTCGGGGGTCCACTGGAAGGAGGCGCCCCCATCTGCCGGGAACTCGTTATCCAACTTGGCAAGTAGGGCCGACGGATCTGACGGGTGAGAGGGCTTGAAGTGGCTGAGAAACGTCGTCGTCATCCGGTACCTGACCAACAGATCTTTGGGCAAGGATGACTCATCGAAGGCGAGCACCGTTTTCAGGTAGTCGACGAGTATGAGACGGCCGAGCTCGCCGAGGTAGCGGCCGGCGGTCATGTACTCGAGCGGCTGGAAGCCGGCAATCTCATTGGGGCCCACGAGTGCGGCGTCGAGGGCAGAATCCCACGGAGTGATGAGGTGCAGCTCGCGCATGGGAGGGGCGGTGCCGCGGATGCTCCATTCCGTGTTGACGGCGATGCGGGCGAGACGGGCAGATTCTCCTGGGAGTGTGCTCACGTTTGCGGGCCACTTGTTGGAGCCCATGGCGGTGAGTCGAAGGGGGATCGTGGCGTTGCAGCCGGTGCCGACGATGAGGCCCATGCTGGCCTTCTTAGACTGAGACTCGTCGAACAGGTAAATAAAGGAGATGAGGGTGGAAACGGAGTCGTTGGATATCGCTGCGATGCGGATGGGAGGGAGCCGGTGGGCGTCTCCATCCTCGACGACGCGGGACTTTTCATATCCCCTGAGCAGCAGAGGACCCAGTTCGGCGTCACCTCCAATGCTGAAGCCCTTGCCCATGGTCATGACAGTGGCGTCGGAAATGGAGTGCTGGACCATGGGAAAGCTGAAGGTGATGCCTAAGGGGAGCTCCTCTTGGGCGGGAAGCTGCCATTCCTCGCAAGCGGAGCGGACAACTTCGGCGATGCGGGCGCCGATCCAGTCGAAGAGAAGCTGGGCGTCGGCCTCGCTGTCCGTTTTGAGGCGGTCATCGATGGGCCACGACTTCTCTTTGAGGCGGAGGGCTGGTGCGGTGGAGGAGGTGCCATTGGTCCGGGGGATGGCTGCGGAGAGTGCGTCGTCGGGGATTGTGGTGTCTTTGCCTTCCAGTTCGACGAACCCTACTCTCAGGTTCGTGCCTCCGCTGGGACCGGGTTAGTGATTCGGGTTTCCGGAGGGGTAAATTTGTTGGATATGTGCGGGATGGATTAAGCGTAGGGGGGGTTTGCAATGTTTGGTCAGGGCTGACATACATGTCGATGGCTAGATGCCTGCAGTCTCGTGTTAGTTGCATCCATTGCACGTTGAGCAAACAAAATCTTCGTCTTCTCGACTCGCACCGTCTGAGCACTTGCAACCCAGATAGCCGAAGCGGACCAAGTGAGGATCCAGCGGAGGCGATTAGGAGGAGGAGTTGGTGGGGGGGGGGGGGGGGGGGGAGACATACCTTCCATGGCCGTTGTGGCTGACAGGTCTTAGAATGGACTCGGAGATGGGCGTCGCGAGGAATTGGTCCTCGGCGTTGAGAGCAAGATGCTTGAAATTGGCATAAAAGAGGCGGGACAGTGCGTGAATCTTTTGGCTGTCAGCCCGGAGCGGCTGCAGGAACTGGTGCAGGGCGAAACCAGGATCCATCGCTCGTCCGTCTCTGTTGGTCCTCTTTACGAATGCTCAGAGGAATGATAACGAAATGCGGCGTTCCCAGAAAGCGCGTCTCTAGCCTTGTCTGGCCTTGTCTGGCCTTGTCTTGCCTTATCTCGCCTCACCTCGCAGTCTAACCTTGTTTTCAGGTGCTGCTGCTGCTGATGGTGGTGGTGGTGGTTATGCGGTCCCTGAGATGAGGGGTACTTCCGTTGACACAAGACAGTTCCGGGGAAGATGGCTTATCAGGTTGAAACCGCAATCATGGATGGATAGACGGAGAGAAACAGGGAAAGAAAGTGAAGAATGAGTAGCTGTCCTCGTCTTGAGCGTTGAATGGAAGAGAAGAGAAGAAAACCAACGAGATACAACGATGTTGCAAGGCACGTTACACCCAGCTGCGATGCGATCTCATTACTTACGTCCGGTGTGGGAAAAGAGCGAGCGAAGACGGCGGTGGTGTGGATCAGCGACCGGATGCCACTGTGCCTGCCTGCTGCCTTCCTTTCCTAGAGTTCATGACAGGTACTTACCGGCTCGTCTTATGCAAGACAAATCCATTTACTTCTAGTAGGAGACTCGAGGACTTGATTGACCAACAGATTCACTGCCTCTCACCTCATCGCTTCTGCATACCTGGATATGCTTCCAACACGATCAAAATACTATAAAAATACCAGACTCGCTAGACCCTGCTGCTGTACAGTACATAGATAATCTCATCTCGCACTGTTGCATCGGCAACGAATGCCCCCCCTTCTCGACGAATGCGACAGTAAGAATACGGAGTCATATATTGATAGGTACGTATCGGCCTAGAGGACGTGGGCTGCTGATAAGATAAGGTGCTCAGTAGCCCACCCCGCTATCGCCGGCGTGTCTTGCTGCTGCGGGCGGAGCTTCGACCGGCCCAAGACCGGGATAGATGTATACATCGTCTCACGTACTGAGCACCACGTTAGGAAGTGTATCTCTCTAAGCTCATCTAGCTACTCCACATCCAGCTAGCGTCAACGCAGCCCCCAACCTAATGTCCGTCCGCCTGTCGTTCTTGTTTGGGGCCTGAGGAGCCAGTGCCGTGCTCGTGCTCATGCTCGTGCGTGCTCCGTGCATGCTGCATCATCGCTATCGTGTCGCAATCCCATCGAACCCCTCGCGCCATCCCGTCATTACTAAACTCTGCTGCTGCTTTCTCCAGCTTCTCCAAATGGGTGCGCACCGAGCTTGTTCAGAACACCGCACCGTCTACCGCCAACAACGCGAAAACACCACACCACCGCTACCCCCCTCTGAGATCAACACCAGTGCCCAACCATCCAAGCCGTCGCCGCGATACCGGTACCAATACCCCGAGCCCGATAATCCTTTTGTCATGGACGAGAAGCGCGCCTACCTCGGATACCGTGCACCCAACCCTCCGCCACGTCCCATGGCTACCTTCAAGCGGCAGATAAAGGGCCTGGTGCTCGTAGTGCTCATGGCATTGCTGTTTGCCTGGAATTATTGGGTCTACCTGGGCCGCCTGCCATCTCACCCGGCCAGTACCGGCACCGTCCCGGGGCAGGCCCCGGTTACCGTCGCAAAGGACCTGGTGCCTTTGGAGGCGCACATCATGAGCAAGTGTCCGGATGCGAGGGTAAGTCGTGATTGGCATGTGGTAGAGCATATGCGGTCGATACTGATACGGGGGCCCTAGGACTGCTTGAGAGATCTGGTCCTGCCTACCATGATGAAGGCCCAGGACAAGGTGAACTTTACTCTCTCGTACATCGGCACGTAAGTAACTGCCATTTCAAGACGTGCGCTATTGTGGATGCCTGACGATTGAGTTTACAGACCGACCGAGAACGACGGCGTCGACTGCAAGCATGGCCCCTCGGAATGTAAGCCGGCATCCCGCTCCCCCTTCCTCACTGAGAACTCAAAGCCCTGACATTTCATGACAAGGCATGGGAAATATTATCGAGCTTTGTGCTGCCCACCTCTACCCCGACCCCAAGATCAACCTCGGCTTCACCATGTGCCTCACCCGCGAATACAGCTCTATCCCCGACCGTACCCTGGTCGAAGACTGTGCCCTGGAGCACGCCATTGATGTCAAGGCCCTCAACGACTGCGCCACCGAAGACGATGGAGGCTTCGGCGTCGGCATGCTGCGTGATAGCGTTCGCCGGAGCAAGAATGTGAGCTCATATTCCCCCATCCAAAACGCCAGGAGCCGGCCAGGAGCCGGCGTCGTGTGGACGTGTTGCTAACCATGACATTGCCAGGCCGGTGTAAGCAAGAGCTGTACCGTCAGGCTCAACGAGGAGATTTACTGCATCCGGGACGGTGGCGAGTGGAAGGACTGCCCGCACGGATCGGGCGTCAACGACCTCGTCATCGCTATTGAGAAGCTTTACCGTCCTTAGACCTCTTGATGGGCTCGTATACCTCGGTCCATAGCTCGCTAGCCTCTCCAAGTGTATAACTCAATGCAAGACTGTCCATGCCCGCCTCGCCGTCGCCCTCCATGACGGAGAGCGTCTCCACGATGCTGTCGAGGCCGACGGCCTTGCCGACGGCCTGCGTCGCGCCGGCCTCGAGCTGCACGTGCACAATGTGAATGTGGAAGTGGTAGTACGTCGGCTGGTAGTGCACGTAGAGCTTGAGCTGGTCGACGTCGACGTCCGGGTACTGGCCGACGGTGGCGGCCAGGAGCCTGGCCTTCATGTGCCGCAGCCAGGGGACGTGCTTCTTGCGCAGGTCGCGCAGGGACCAGATGTCGCGGCGCTCGACGAGGCCGAGGAGGTGCAGGGCGTCGAGCGTCTTGCGGTCCCAGTTGAGGTCCGGCAGCAGCAGGAAGCCCTCGTCGCCCTCGGCGCCGAGCGGGGTGCGGTAGATGACGTCCTCGACCTCGGTGCGGCCCTCGATGATGTTGAAGACCCAGTTGAGGCGGCCCTCGTCGCGCTTGCGCTGCATGTAGGGGCGGACGTGCTCGGCGTAGATCTCGGGGGTCTCGGTGACGAGCCGGACGCCCTGCCGGCTGTACTTCTTGACGTGGGCGTCGGTGCAGGGGTAGATGAGGTTGATCTTGAGGTCGGCGAGGAGCGAGAGGTCGGGCGCCGCCGCCGCCGCCGCCGGCGGAGGCGCGCCGCTGCTGGCGAGGTACCAGTGGTAGACGTCGTTGGCGCCGAGGTTTGCGATGGAGGCGAGGGAGACCGGGGCGGCGGCGAGGTAGGCGGGGTCGGTCGGGAAGGGGGCGCGCTCGAGGATCAGGAGCGCGGGCTTGCCGTCGATCGTGCCCAGTAGAGAAGTGCGGCGGCCGGCCTGGTCTGCGGGAGTGGAGGCATCGTCAGTTCTTGCCGCGGGCCTGGGCTGCGTGTTTTATGTATGTGTGTGCGTTTGTGTGTGTGTGTGTGTGTGTGTGTGTGTGTGTAAAAGCTGGTGGAACGGACCTTGGTTGAGGACGCGGTCGAGCTTGAACCTGGGAACCAGCGCCTCGGCGTCTGCTTTGACGTCGGCCATGGCTTCTTCTTCTTCTTGCTTGCGGATTTTTCGTGCCACCTTTCTAGAACGGAGGTTTCCTCTTGGGGAGTTCGAGACGAGAGTGTATATCAGAAAATGAGCTACAGAAAGGTAGAGTGACTCGCAGTCGGTAAAAGGGCTGAGTTGGCCTAGAGGGGGGGGGGAAAAAAAACCCTGGCGGGGACGGCGTTCCGGTTTGAGCTCACCGAAAAGCAAGAGCAACCCCGCCGTTACCCCGCGGTGGGGCACCAGCTCATGCCGCCCCGTCGTCTGCCGTCCGGCGCGTCCACCGTCTCTCGTCTCTGCAAACATTCGGCTAATTACCAATCGCAGGAAGCATCACTCTGCGCCAACAATATGGCTAAAGAAGATGCTGCTATGCACATGCAGCTACTAGTTGACAGTAGTCGTCAGCTTTGATTTACCTCTTGATGTATATAGTCGCTCTAGATACCCCCCTCGACACCGAACAGACGACGTCAACATCAGCAACCCGACTCCGTCTTAGGCTTCCAGGGTTGGGATGTGACTCGATTCCTTCTCTGGCACTAATCACGCCAAGATAAGCACTTGTCCCTCGGCGTGAGGCTTACGTGAACCCCAACCTCACACACTGATATGCCCTTCCAAAAAGGGGGAAATTCTATACGCCCTCAGTAAGCACTGGCTCGCGTCTTCGGGACGAATAATTCGTCCCGGCGACCTGGCTCTGCATACGGTCGAGCCGCGCCCACACCTTCGCAGACATACACCTGTCAGGTGATGTTTGCTTTGCCGCCGCAATGGCTGGCATTGTTTCAACCTGGAAAAGGAGTGGTGCGACCGACCCGCACCTCGAGGGCGTTGCAACACTAAGAATAATGGCTCCATGTTCGACCCACACGACTGACTGTACAAGTTCAATACCTCCAGTATATGCATTCAAAGTATCGATACGAGAATGCACCGTCGCTCTAGGCCCTGATCTTCTCGTTGCCAGTCGCCTATTGCCAATCGCCAGAGGGACTTCGCCACTGACTCTGCCACCAGCCCAGTGGTGGATGTACTACCGCGATAGGCTGTAGTGTACCTTTAGCTGCTTACCCTACTAATGATAGTGGCAGCTATAGTAACCACCTGTTAATCCATAGTTTTTCTTCTAGCATTAGATCCTAGTAACTAGCAGCGGTTTCTAGGATGCTAGGATATATAGCAAAAAGCTAGTAATAAGCATAGATTATACCTAATTGAGTCTGTCTTAGCTACTAATTTAGAAAAAAAATGTTATATAATTGTGACTCTAAGAAGCAAACAGATCTAGCAGCAAAATTATAGCCGAAAGGGGCTTAGCGGTCTAGAAAAGTACTTGGAAGGGTTTCTGGGCACTTTTATGCACAGCTTATACGGATATTAGCCTGGCAATTAGCAATAGGCGAATGGCAACGAGAAGATCAGGGCCTTATAAGCATTATTCCCGGGATTGGATTCCTCTCGCATCACTATAACAGGTATAAATCCCCAGCTGAATCTTCACGATAACGCGTGGCCAGGGTGGATATCTCTCCTACCCATGCATACCACCTCCCCTCCAAACAATGTACAATCCTATCTGACTATTCAACCCACCCCATTTTGTCCAATCAGCGAGGCAACCAGTCTTCTGGGCCGAGAACCAACAGGACCCGTAAAAGTCAACCAGGATAGATTCTTTGGGTATCCCCGTTGCCCTTTATCTCAGGAGGCTCATGGTTTTCCGACCCATCATCATCGGAGAACAGCACAGAACAGCACAGCACAGAACATAGTGCATATCCAAGTTGGTTTTGAGTTTCAACCGTAGCTCTTACTTTTACCAGAGCAACCAGCATGACGACTGAGGAGGTTCCCATCCCCGAGCCATGGGGTCTGCCCATCCTTGGGCACATTGCCGAGTTTACCCCCGAGAGTACAATGAAAGATGTACTTCGATTGGCAGACACGTTCGGTGTGTATATGACGTTCCATTTCCCACTCGATGGTACTGCGGGACGAGTCACTGATCATCGTACCAGGCGAGGTTTACCGTCTTCGATTCCCCGGCGGAAAAACCATGTGCTTGTTTTCTACAAACGCTCTAATCAACGAGCTCTGCGACGAATCTCGCTTCAAAAAGACACTGAACAACGTCGTCGGTGTGAGGGAAAAAAACCCCGTGTCATTCCCCAGAGCAGACCTGATTCGACATAGGAATTGAGGAAGATTGCCAATGATGGCCTCTTTACTGTGAGCGGACTGGACCATCCTCGCCCTATACCCCCCCCAACTATTGACGTATCCTAGGCCAACATAGACGAGCCAAATTGGGGCATCGCGCACAGAATCCTGATCCCAGCCTTCGGACCCGTAACTATTCGCGGTATGTTTGACGAGATGGTCGATCTCGCAAGCCAGATGGCCTTGAAATGGGCTCGCCACGGCCCCTCAACACCCATCATGGTCACCGACGACTTCACTCGTCTCACTTTGGATACCATTGCCCTGTGCTCCATGGGCTTCCGCTTCAACTCCTTCTACCGCGAAGAGCTTCACCCCTTCCTCAAGGCCATGTCGGACGCCCTCACGGAATGCGGAAACAGGGACAGGAGACCGGGCTTCGCCAACTACATCTTGTGGGGCACACAGCAGAAGTTCTACGCCGATATAGACTTGTTGCGCAAGACGGCGGAAGAGGTGCTGAATTCTCGAAAAGAGCACCCGTCCACAAGGAAAGACTTGCTGTCTGCCATGCTCAACGGCGTGGACCCCAAAACGGGCCAGAAGATGACCGATACCAGTATCATCGATAACTTGATTACTTTCCTCATTGCCGGCCACGAAACAACTTCTGGCCTGCTGTCCTTTGTATTTTACCAGCTTCTTCAGAATCCAGCAGCCTATCGAAAAGCTCAGCAAGAAGTCGACGAGGTTATCGGCCAAGGTCCCATTACCATACATCACTTGTCCAAGCTGCCCTACCTGAATGCTGTGAGTTCGGTCCAGCCCTCTTCTATCTATCGTTGAATGTACCGCGTATTGGGAAATGCTCATCTTATTTCCTCTAGATCCTCCGGGAGACATTGCGGCTTTCTTCCACGGTTCCTGCCTTCGGCATCGAGGCCAAAGAAGAAACACTCATTGCCGGAAAATACCGCGTTAAAAAGGGAGAACCTCTCGTAGCAGTCCTTGGCAAAGCGCACGTCGACCCCGTTGTCTACGGCGACGACGCGAAAGAGTTCAAGCCCGAGCGCATGCTGGACGAGAACTTTGAACGCATACAAAAGGAGTTCCCCAACTCGTGGAAGCCCTTTGGTAACGGCCTGCGTGGCTGCATTGGCAGGCCGTTTGCTTGGCAGGAGGCCTTGCTCGCCGTGGCCATGCTTCTGCAGAATTTCAACTTCACCATGAACGACCCCAACTACCAGCTCGAGATTTCCGAGACGCTCACCATCAAACCCAAGGGTTTCTACATGCGCGCGGCCCTAAGACATGGGATGAGTCCCACGGAGCTGGAGCAGAGGCTCATGGGCAAAGGCTCGAACAAGACGACTTTGCCATTTCGACCGTCAGCGCAGACAAATGGCCACCCGACGAACGGCAGTAAGGAAACCGACGTCGGTGGGATTCCCATCAGCATCTATTACGGATCCAACAGTGGCACATGCGAAGCGCTCGCCCAAAGACTCGCCACGGACGCGACGGCTCGCGGATTCAACGCTACAACCGTGGAGCCCTTGGACACCGCCCGCGAGAATCTGCCCAAGAATCAGCCCACGGTAATCATCACTGCCTCTTACGAAGGCCACCCGCCCGACAACGCAGCCCACTTTGTCGCTTGGCTCGAGAGCTTGAAGGCCCAAGAGTTGAGCAACGTCCCATATGCCGTCTTCGGGTGTGGCCACCAGGACTGGGTTCAAACGTTCCACCGCGTCCCGAAGCTAGTCGATACCATAATGGAAGAGCGCGGAGCAAACAGAGTCGCGCCGATGGGGCTGACAAACGCTGCCGACAGAGACATGTTTTCGGACTTCGAGGCCTGGGAGGACAAGTTTCTCTGGCCGGCGCTTACCGAGAAGTACGACGTTACCGAGGCACACAACGCCAATGGTTCGAGCTCCGGACTTGTTGTGCAAATTTCCAACCCCCGCACTTCGACTCTGCGGCAGGATGTCGAGGAGGCCGTCGTCGTCGAGGAAAAGACCCTTACGGCGGCTGGAGCAGCCCCGAAGAAGCACATGGACATCCAGCTCCCGCCCGGCATGGCGTTCCGGGCCGGAGACTACCTGGCCGTCCTGCCCCTGAACCCGCAGGAGAGCATTGAGCGGGTCTTTCACAGGTTCCAGCTTGCGCGGGACGCCTGCTTGACCATATCCGGCGACAAGCACACGCCCCTGCCGATCAACCGGACCGTCTCCGCGTACGAGATTCTCAGCGCCTACGTCGAGCTTGGCCAACCCGCCACGAAGCGGAACGTCTTGTCCCTGCTGGAGGCAGCTGAGGACGGAGAGACAATCGAGAAGCTGGAGCAGCTGGCCGGCGCGGAGTACCAGGCGGAGATCACCCAGAAGAGAGTAACGATCTTGGACCTCTTGGAAAGGTTCCCTTCCATTGCGCTGACTATTGGCACCTTCCTCTCTATGCTTCCTCCCATGCGCGTGCGACAATAGTAAGTATTAAACCGTTCATCCCCGAGACCAACCAGCAACTGAACTGACTGACCATCACCAGCTCCATCTCATCCTCCCCCCTCCGCAACCCCTCGCAAGCAACCCTTACCTACTCCGTCCTCAGCGGGCCTTCTCTGTCGGGCCAGGCCCGTTACGTGGGCGTGGCGACCAGCTACCTTGCGGGCCTCAAGGCGGGCGACAAGCTCCATGTCGCCGTCCGGCCCTCGCACACAGCCTTCCACCTCCCCCTCCAGCCCGAAAAGACGCCGCTCGTCCTCGTCGCCGCGGGCTCCGGCATCGCGCCCTTCCGCGGGTTCGTCCAGGAGCGCGCCGCCATGCTCGCGGCGGGGCGGGCCGTCGCCCCGGCACTCCTGTTCTACGGGTGCCGCGAGCCCGGCGTCGACGACCTGTACCGCCAGGAGCTCGACGTCTGGGAGGGGATGGGCGCCGTCGCCGTGCGCAGGGCGTACTCGCGCGCCGCCGAGGAGAGCGAGGGGTGCAGGTACGTCCAGCACCGCCTCTACCACGACAAGAAGGACGTCGCGGGCCTCTGGGCCCAGGGGGCCAAGCTCTTCGTCTGCGGGACGCGGGACGTGGGCAGGGCGGTCGAGGAGGCGTGCGTCAGGATCATCCTGGAGTCGGCCAAGGAGGAGGGCGGGCAGCCCGAGCTGAGAGACCTGGACTACGAGGGGGCCAAGAAGTGGTTCGAAGGGATTCGGAACGAGAGGTATGCTACAGATGTCTTTGACTGAGAGCGGCCGAGGGCAGATGGCCGTGCCAGAGGGGAGCTGAGAGACCTGGACTACGAGGGGGCCAAGAGTTGGTTCGAAGGGATTCGGAACGAGAGGTATGCTACAGATGTCTTTGATTGAGAGCGGCCGAGGGCAAGTGGAAAAGGAGGGTGGGTGGGTTTAAGGAAGAACCGTTCATGGTCACTCCCCCTTCTGCGCAATTTAACATATATCTGCAAGAATACAAGTCATGTTCATACAACTATGAGTTTGTTATTTTGGAGCGGGTGCAGCATGTCCTCTTGTTGTATCGTGTTCTTCCCTAGAACTCCGTAAAGCGTTACCGTTTTGCAATACATAGGGGGTTAACAACCATGTAAGCCGATACCCGTATCCCCCCCCCCCCCCCCCCCCCCCAGAACCAAGACAAGAGCTAGATGATCTGGGCTCCAAAGGGCCTCGGTCAAACAAGGAACATCGCTGGTGCGCCAGCATGTCGCCGCAGAGGCCCGACCACCTCGCGGTACGCGGGCGTCGGGCGGGCGCCTCTCGCGCGTACGACTTCTCGTCGCCATTCCGGTCCTCCCAGGCGGCGGCCCAGAGGGACGCGAAGGCATCATGTCACCCCCGAGGGCGTCTTCCGAGTTCCGCCGGCGGCCGGCGTCCGGCGCCGTCCGCCTCGGCCATCTCGATCTCGTACATGTGCCTCAGGACGCGCTCGTTGAACTCGGAGACGGGGTCGTCGCCCAGCCCCAGGTGGGTAATTCGAGAGACGGCGTTGAATGAGTGCGTCACTTAGTGCTGCGTGACGTCCCACCAGCGGTGGGTTTCCGGAAGCGTCGCCAAGGACGAGGGTATCTCGTGGAAGGCGTGCTCCCCCCCAAAACCATCCTGGGAGCACCACGACCGTTCGGAATAGTCGTCCTCTTGGCCACTTTCGCTATCCTCCCCGCCGCGAGGCTCCTCCGAGTCGTCCCGGTCCGGCCGCCGGAGCACGTCGCAGGACCAGGACTGCTGGATAAGCCGCTGGAAGACACGTAGCGCGTCCGTCTCGACGGTCTCGGCGCCAATGACGCTCCGACATAGGCGGCTCTCCTCCTCCTCCTCCTCCTCCACCTTCTCTTTCACTTCCTCGGACCGCCGCCGCAGGAGCTCGTCTATCATCTTCTGGCCGTTGTCGACGTGGGAGAGCGCGGCCTTTCGGTCGCCGTGCAGGACCTCGAAGCACACGAAGAGGAGGCAGCACACGATGGCCGCCCGGAGGCTGTTGGCGTCCGGCTCCGCCTCACGTATCTCCCGGATGGCGCTCCCGTAGTACGACAGGGCGAGCGCGTAGTGTGGCCCGTTGGCGCCCATCTGGGCTGGGCTCATGGGCCCCAGGCTCTGCCGGAGGGCCTTGGCGATGCCGCCGACGGCCATGGCCGCGTACCTCACCGAGGCGTGCTGATGGCTCATCCGCGGCACGGCCTCGCTCCATAGTGGCTCTTCGAAGATGCCGCCGCTCAGTCGGCACCTGTGGGCAAGCCAGTGCTCAAAGTACTGGCGTTCCGTCGGGTCCCCGAACAGATCGTCGGCGACCTCGACCGCGCCGGACGGCAGAAGCGGCTCGGTCCCTCCCGCCGCGAGGTTTTCGACCGGAGGCGACTCCGAAGCACGGGTGGGAGAAGGTGTGCCGTCCAGGCCGCTTTCTGGCCCTGACGTGGAGGCCGAACATCCGCCCAGGGCGTGGTACCCGTCACAGAATCCCTGCCACTTGACGCATCTTCGACACGAGGGTTTCGTCTCATCGCACTTGACGTGTCTCCGCCTAGTCTGGCGTAAGAAGCTGTTTGTACGTTTCAAACACGGCTCAAACTCACTTGCCTACTCTGCGTTAGCTGGAGCGAAGACAGAGACAGAGACAGAGAGAGTGTGTGTGAGAGAGAGGGAGTGTGTGTGGGCGTGTGTGTGAGAGTGAGAGTGAGAGTGCGAGTGATAGTGAGAGTGAGAGAGATAAAGAGAGAGAGAGACAGACACACACACACACACACACACACACACACACACACACACACACAGAGAGAGAGAGAGAGAGAGAGAGAGAGAGAGTGGAAAAGAGACACTGGGGTGGTAACGGCGGCTTACATGTGCTACAGCCTGTCCGGACCTTGCTTGAACTTTGCCTCTTGGCGCGTGGCCTCTTCTTCAAGGCGAACGTGAACACCCGTGGCCCATTTTCTTCTTTCCTGTAAGCACGCTTCGGTCAGCTTTCCCACTGCCACCGACCGGGAACGGATGTTGTCATGCACGTTCTAGGGGCTAGGGGGGAGGGGGGTGTAATCATACTTGGGGGCTGTTGCGTGGTCTAAGGACTCGGTCCATGCTACACCGGGGAACTGAGACACGAGAAAGCTGTTCTGGCTGCCGCCGTCGTTGCTCACGGCCGGTGACATTTTTTGGACTCAGAAAAAGGACAAGGAAAAAGTGTAGAATGATTGACAGAAGTAGAATCTTGCGGTCTCAAAAGAGAGCAGGGCCGTTCTTTAAGAGCGAATCCTCCAGCTAAACAGCTAAAAGCAACTTTGCAAGCGAGTTGGGGGCCAGAAATAACCCCCAACTCCCCCTCCCCTTTTCAACGATGATGAGGCTATTGATACCCCCCCGGGGGGCCATCTTCGACTACCATCATGCATCCGAGCGTATCATGCCCGACAAAGGAGAGAGCGCCCGCATGGCGAACATACGACACTGTCACTCTATTGGTCGCCCCCGGCGCCTTCTCGTACGCTGGGAATGGATGCTCTCCTTGTGTCAAATTGGCTCTCGGGGCACGCTCTGGGACCCTGAGACCCCCTCCCAGCCTTACCAGCCCTATCCAGCATTTTCCCGGGATTTTGGAGCCCGAGATACTGCGGAGCCCGTCAAAAGACCTTGCAGCGAATGCCAAGACCAGAAGTGGAGTATCCCAGTCTTAGTACTTAAGAATACATTCTTTCTTATCAGACTCTTACTAAATATGTCTAGAGCATAGGAGTGCTTCAGCAGTATGAGATGAATTCTCATGGGCCCTTTTAGGAGCAGGTTGACAATCATGTGATCTGAGATGTATTGTGCTGTACTAGTACTGTTGGCTGGGACGTGGTGCTGCTGGGACGTGGTGCTTCTAGCACCTTGCCATTCTCTGCAAGGTCTTTTAACGGGCTCCTCTATACACCTTGTATTATAGGACGCCCAGACCCCTAGGTTGAGCTGCAGAATGGTCGGCTCTGGAGGGTGGCCACAGTCTCCGCCTGTCAGCCTGCATGGGCACTATTTGATACCCCTTGGGCTAGCTACGTTGCATCGGAATGCCATCGCATTGGCTACGGTGAAGAAGATCAGCCTGTAGAGTTCCATTACATCAATTCAAGGCAGAAGTCAAGCCGGGGTTGAAATGGAAAAATTGAAACCAAATCGAAAACCCGGCTCTCGAGGCATGTCATGCTGCTTGAACCTCACCACGTTGCCAGGAGTGGGCCATTAGATACAACGCCATCAGCTAACGGTGTGGCTCCGCTATCCGCTCGTCATTGTTCCCATCATACACACGGCACCGGCGCCGCTCAAAGTGGGAGACTCGTTTTGATCTCTAACTACCGAGGCCGCAGAGTTCTCGTCGAGAATGTAGACAAAAATCCTCGTCTTCCTCTTGGGCCGAGGCATGGACTCGTTGTTCAGACGTGAGCAAAGACATGTTTGATGATTGGCAAGATCATCAAAAAGTCCAGATGCTGGCCAACTACCGTGGTAAGCTGGGAGATGGGAAGAGGACTCTACTTTTGGCTGCCTAGCAGAAAAGTATTTGTGCTAACACTCCCTCGACTACGGTGGCCTCTTAAACGTACGAGCAACGCAACGTGATTCCGCCAAGCAATTCCAGACGAGAAGGCATGGCGTCTCTGCAAAAGCCATTTTCAAACTCGGGCAAGGCTCTGCGTGTCATTTGCACCCAAGCCACGCCGTCTGCGGAGCTGTCAACTCCGCAACAACTTCTTCTGGGTAAGTAATATGGCCAGTCAATGTGTCAAGTCCTGGCAGGACCTCGGATTGGACAGCAAACGGGAAGCCGTACAAAAGTACGCTGCAGGGAATGGCCGAGAGGCATGCATGCCGCTCGCCATGTCTGTTCACTGCCCAATAGACTAGTGACGCCAAGAACATAGCTGGTTGCATCGCGCTTCGAATGGTTCACGGAACGAATCCCGGATTATTAGCCGCCCCTGCCGTGTTGCGTGTCGCCAGCACAGCGAGCGAGTGCTAGTAAAACGATTCCTCGCCGGCTGCGGGGGAGGGGGGACGAGAATACACTCATGGCCGTCCACTCCAAGGCGGTCTAATTGGTTGTTTGATGCGCAGACACCCTGCCAGTGTGGCAAGAGGCGCCTCGCCTTGACGAATGGTCATAACGTGCCCGGCTGTGATGTCGCTGGCGTCTTGACGTCTTCAGCCTCTGGCTCTCACCTCGACATCCTCGCAGCTACACCAGATAACCACCCTAGGTATACACGTGAGGCCTGTAGACCACGGTATATTACAGCGGTGAAGCCGCTCTAGCTCGATAACTACGAGCTTTAGATGGTGCCAGGGCTATGGTCTTATGTGGAGATGTTAAGTGCAGCCGGATGGCGAGGAGCCCGCCTCCCCGGCGTGGGTCCGAGTCCCGCCATCGGAAGCGGGCTATGCTCCTGATCATGGTACGCCACCAGGGGCAAGAGGCGCATTAGCCTACCTGGCTGATATCAAATTATTCAAGTGGATCTTTGCGTCGACGCCAAAGAGCCGCCCGGATCACACATATCCAAGACTTCATATTGTTTTTTTTTTATGCCAGGAGGCTGCAAGCCTCCTTGACACACTGCTCCTTACCGTCCCCAACGGATGTGCCCCCGTCATGATCCAACTATTTGGCAGCCTCCATGGCAACATGCCTGTGTATCGGCCGCTGTTAAGGGGCTATGGCGTGACTTTACTGACTTTGTTATTGAGATTGAAAGCTTCCTGCGCTGAGCGACGATGCCTTTCAAAACGTAAGTGACTGTTGGTATCTCGTCTCTAAAACTCCGCCACACAGTTTCGAGACTCTTCTGTCAAACAGGCCCTCGCGGATGCAGGGCAGGGCAACGTATCCCTGGTCCTCCCGGGGCCTCAGGAGAACCAATCCTCGACACGACCCTTGAACGTTGTCGCCTTGGGCTTCTCAGGGGCGTATTCCGATTCGCGAAGGCGCCCAGACCGAAGGTCGATCTCGTGCGCGCGAACGAACTGCGCCAGTCAGCCAAACCGACTTTATTCCGTGAGGGATGGGAGTGACAAACCTTGGTCTTGTGGTATAGCTTCCAGGCGATGATGGGCACGATGAAGATTGGGATACCGATGTACGAGGCGACGAAGTCCGCGGTCGACCAGTTGCCCGCAAGAAACACGGAGAACCCCGCAACGAAGGTGATGACCGTCGATCCGATGAAGCCGAACCAGGCGGTGTACGGCTGGAAGGGTGCTTTCCAGGGCAGGGTGTCGCGGCTGACGCCTTGGGCCTCTATGGCGCGATGGAAACGGATGTAGCAGAAACAGAGCGTCGCCCACGCGATCAAGCCGGCCACGGTGCTCAGGCTCAGAAGCCATTGGGAGGCATCCGCAACACCTCCGGAGCCGAGACCCACTACCGTTAGACAAAGATGTTCGTCTTCGGGGGCTGTGGTATTATCCACTTACTCAAATACGCCAAAGGGCCAAAGAGCCAGGCAGTGATGACGGCAACATAGGGGACACCGGACTTGGTGGTGCGGCCCAAGAACTGTGGCAGCTGTCTGTCCGTGGTCATCGCCACTATCATGCGCGAACCGACCCAGCAGTACGAGTTGCCGGCCGAACACGCGGAGACAAGGATGCACGCGTTCACGATCGAGGGCGGGATGTTGATCCCAGCCTGGCGGATGGCGATGACGGGTCCGGGTTTGGGCAGACGGGTGATGTCAGGGTCACAGAAGTGTCTAATCTGTATTATCGTTAGTAGCGTCTAAACCCAATTTTTCCGTCTTTACGCTTATAGTATACAAACGTAACCTTGTATAGGTTTACGTTTGCGTATGTCGTTTTGTAGTGTCATGTTGTGTTAGCGGCAGAGCTCCATGGTTTAAGTCGTCATGCAATAGAAACCCGAAAACAACAGGAGAATCCGGCACTCTCTATTATCTGATACACTAATAACTCACGTAAAATTACTTAAAGAAAGCACGAAAGAAAGCACATCTTTTGCTCCACGTCATACAGCGCCGCCGCGACCATGTCGCCTACTCCCTTTCGCTTCATACTGCCATCAGCCCTCTTCTCTACAAGAAGAACACGACACCATTTCATATGAGATTCTGATGTTCTAGCTAGAGAGGTCTTAGCTTCAATCATCTTGTTGCCACCCAAACCAGGGGTGGAAAAGAGAAATTCCGGGAAGTATTTGTCGGAACAATTGGCATCCTTAATATCCAGGCAGATCCAGGCAGATATCCTGCCAGGATATCCGGAACCGGAACAACTGGGACGCCGGTTACAGCCCCTATATATATCGCCCATCCGGCCAGACCCCCTCTTCTAGATTCCTTCTACTCTTCGGGCAATAGTAGATAATCAATCAAAGATCTATTGCTCCAACCAGCCGAGAGGCCTTGCCGTTATTGGCCACCTGTTATACCAACAGTATTCCTCCCCTCTGTCCAGCTGGCCACTTGTGCATAGGTTGAGCCTGGCAGGCTCCATATCTGCGGTCAAAGCAGCAGCTCCCAATGGCTCATCCAGAGCTATTCCTCCCACAACCTTCCCAGTTAGATTGAGCACCAGTTTGCGACCGTCCTTGTTACTGAAGTCTGAGAGGCGTTGGGAGTGAACGGTTTCGAAACCAAGACATTTGCTGAAGGCCATTTTGGGATCCAGATGGTGAGTATGGGAGCGATCCAAGGACCCGCTGACACCTACTTTGGGGTAAAGTGTTCTATTGCCAGGGTCGATAAGACGGACCCGGACCTGGCGTTCGTGTGGGACGTAGTCGTCGGCCTCCCACGTCTGAACAAGACGCTTCGACAGGATCATCCCATCACCAGTAGCACGGAGGTCCCTGTCTACTATCCAGAAGCGGCACGTCGGCGACAGCGCCTCAGGATTACTGGTGGAGTAATGCACGGCGCCCTTCCATCCTGTCCACGACCAGCTGGGGAAATCGGGTAACCTCTCTAGCGATGGACCGTCCGTCGTGGACCACAACAGCGCCATATCGAGCTGATTTGTCGGCAGCCCAAACACCAGTTTGGTGTCCATCTGCCTTTCGTAAATGGCCCCAAGCCCAGCGAAGGCGTTCAGCTTGTCGCCCCAATATGTCATCTCCCGACTCGTGTATTCCTGAACAGTCGACTCGTACCTTGAGATGTGGTCATTACGGCCGAGGTGGTCGATGGATTCAAGACTTTGCAGCTTGTTGTAGATCTCCTGGAGCTCAGATGCCTCGACAGGCAGCATCTGGGAGCCAAACTGCGGCATCAAGCTCGAAGACTTAACCGGTTGAGGGGTGTCGCCTGGCTCTGTCGACATGTCTTCACATCAAACTCTCTCACGGCATTCCCAAGTGACGTAACCGTGGTGTAATATTTAAACCGCGGGGACAAGACGGCTCCCTGAAATGTCCATGTTCGTGTGTTCCACGTGGAAGATACCTTCTGCTTGTCGTCGAAACCCGTCATCTGAACAGCAACCCGTAGGCCCGGCATTATTTCACCTTGAATCTGTTTTGGTGGCGTCGAGTTGTCCCCGAAACCCATCAGATGGCATTTGCTATTCTGACCACTGGCCTGGACGATGGTGAGCTCTGCTAGTCCGTAAACCGCGTCCATGACAGGAATCTGCCTTGCCTTGTCGGCTCTTCCGTCAGCCTCCTGAATGATACACATCGCGTCAACCCACAGATAGGGTACACCCATCTCTTCAGTGAGCGTGGTTGCGTCGGTAATGGAGTTTGATAGACCGGCAACGCGCAGCTGGCCTTCTTGTCTGAATTCAGGCAGATTGGCAGTGGTCATCATCACCCACGGCGGCTTGCCCCATACGTAGCTAAGTGCAGCGTATCTGCAGTCCCTATTTGATGCAAGACTCTCCGCTTCAACCAAACACCATCGCCGCACGTCGATCAGTCTCAGATTGAGACTCGCAAACGTTTCCGGAGACCAGCTGTGCAGACATTTTTTGTGTTGCCCCTTGCAGACATCTAGCCGATTCAAGCCGACTCGAGAAATGTTCCTGTCGGTAGAAATATTCCTCATGCGCCCTGGAGCATCTTTGACTTGATTGAATACAAAGGTGCACTTTATGTCGCGACCCGTGCGATTGCGTTCCATGCCAAAAGTAAAACCGTTGCCCAATGGACCACCAGGCCGGAACCGGAATTATACGCGAGTCGCGAGATTTGTTGCAGGAGGTCGGGGAATTCTCGTGAAATAGCTCGGTGCACTAAAGAGCACATAGAGCAGGTATTACGATTATAGGCTTGAGCAGAACTTACAGAGAGGCATCGCAACACAGCGTGGTCACTGTGATGCTATCGAGGTTATCAAGAAGAGAAAAGGCTGTCGGACTGTTAAAATTCGCAGAAGAGTCAGCGTCCCAGGGTTTGTTACTACGTATTACTGATGCGGAATTTGTTCCGGTTCCTCGAGATGCGCAAGCACCTCGTCCGTCTCCAACCCGTCAAGACTTTGTAAGCCTAGAAGGATATTCGACGGACGTAAATCTGCAACAAGTTTAACGCATGGACTAGGAAGAGGAACTCCATAGTCAGACGAACTTCCGCGGCAGTAATTGATTTTGTGCAATACCCCCAAGGCCTCGACGACTTGCCGCGAGATACTCTGCACCATTCTAGTCAATCTCCCCCCAGAGCCAAATAATTCTGCAATGTTCTGTACCGTCAGCCCAAGCACAGGCCACCATGAACAGCTTTCTTCACAATAGTCAGCTGTTTGCTAGGCCCTACTAACGAGGCATGACTGTAGAGTAAAATAGCAGTTACATCTGAATAGGAATTCAACTCAACTTAACACTAAACAGTGGAAGGTTTTAAAGAAGGTTCTGTGGACTGACGACCTGGAACGCACTGTTTGGTCTTAAAGGCAGGGAGCCTGGGCCTGGCACATGGGTTCTCGTTCAAGGAACAGGAGGGGTGAGCATCGCCGCGCTGCAATTGGCTGTGGCAGCCGGATTGACTGTTGTTGCCACAACCTTGTCCGAGGAAAAGACGAAACGCTTGAGAGATCTCGGAGCAAAGTACACCGTCAACTACCGCGAAAGCCCTGAAGACTGGGGTCTCAAGGCCAGGAGTTTTACTACGAGCCAGAAGGGCTTCGACACCGTTGTTGAAATCGGCGGCGACGACTTCCTCACCCGATCGATCACAGCAGTCAGCACTGACGCCATTGCTGTGGCAGCGGGCCTAGTAGGTGGACAAGCTGAGCCTGTTCCTATCTTAGCAGCTCTCTGTCGTCCGTGCATTGTCAGGGGCGTATTGCTGGGCAGCTGGAACCGGTTCCGAGAAATCGTTCGTTTCATCGAGGAGAAGTGTGACAAGCCAGCTGTTGATGACGTGACATTTGAGCTTTCTGAGGTCAAGGATGCGTACGCACGGCTGAAAGCGAGGAAGCATTTCTCTAAGATTGCCATTAAGATAGAACATTGTATCAACTCGAAGACCACTAGAGCATGCGGTAGTGTTTCACCTACTTCGTTGATAATATTCTTCGGCCTGTGTTACTACATGATGTGAGGGGCTTATCACTGTAGGGTGAAAAATGCACACTAAGAGTGAGGCACAGGACAGCAGAATGAGAGAAGATGGAATTAACGACCGAGGATTCTACGAAGTGAGTTTACAAGATATATAACAGCTAAGCCTCTTGACTACGAACAGACATAGCAATCCCAGCGAGGGCCAGGTTAGTAGTTGAGTTGGTGACGATCAGCGAATATCTAGTGTTGCATGTATTTGTCCCCGTTGCCCTCTAATGCTGCTACTAGAGATAATGCTAGATAAAGTTCGCTGCTAATTTCCCAACTCATAAATGCTTGCTATAAAGCGCTTCTGCTAGAAAGAAGCTAAAGACAAAGGTCATGCTTCTTGAAGTGATTCAAACAGGGCAACAGTTACACTGCAGTTGTAGTTAGTAGATGTTTCTGGACTGGGGTAGATAGGGACCGTAGGGGAGCTACGCACAGAGACTGTGCCGCCTTGGGGCGTTGGCGCTGCGGGGGATGCTCCCGATAATGTTGTTGCACAAGTCCCACTTGCTCTCTCCCTTGTGCCACAGACGTTGACTCCGCTTATGGCGTTGCAGACTTCGACGGGGGACTAAGTTATTCAAGTAAGTAATCCAAATCTTGGGCTCGGTTAGGAGGGTTCGAGACTTACGCATTGCGTGGACCTCCGAACGCAGCCGAGCGCAAAAGAGGCCATAGTGACCGTTAGGACTGAGAGAATACCAAACGAACGCATTGTGAGGTTTGAGTTTCGAAAACAGGGTTAATACTGTCAAAGAAGAACACCATCATAGTCCATGCTCCTTCTGGGAACCCTGCTTATTTATATCTATCTGCCTTGGGCCTAAAAGTGGGCAGCTTCCTGGTAGCATTAACTAATATATTTCAAACGAAGTCAGTCAATTTTAGACAGCATACGAAGATCGTATTCTATAAGGAAAAAGATATACTGATCTCCACCTTAGAAACAAGACTTATCAAACTTAAAAGTACTGCTCAGGCCAATCAGAGAGAGGGTACGCGTCTCTTCCATCTCCCGTGACCCGAGCTAATGGTTCGTCTGACTCGCGAGTGTTGCAAAGCATCATCTATAACAGGACGCTGACAGTGAGTCCCTGCGACAATATCTCATCGCCAACGTGACTCTTACCATATGGGTCGTCACCGCCAAAAGGGCCTATTAATGCTTGCACTCATTGCGCGCGTAGCTGTCAACACTACTTATATGGCCTATCACAGCCTGACAAGACACCTAGAGGTTGTCTCTATGAAATCATCAGTCGAGTCAGGGCAGGAGGTAACCAGGGGAGTGTCTAGCCTGCAATGAAACAAAAAACAAGCGGATGCGACGCAACCGCTAGGCATGACAGGAGAGTGACCAGACCACTGGCGCCCGTCACCGCCTGCAATCAAGGGCAGCAAACTGTATAATCAGGGCTCACTAGGTTGCAATCATCGCCAGACTCTACACCTGTCTGTTTGCGAGGTTGTTAATAGTGGACTCACGGCCAGGAACAGCTGTACACTGGTTCTGGTACCAAATCGCTTGCTTGCAGGTCTGGATACGTGACCCAAGCAAAACCCAAGTCATTGGGCTTTGTAGAGCAAGGGTCTTGGACTCCACAAGGTGCTAATTACACTGATGCTTCAGTTGAAGCAAAAGTTAGCTGAGCGTTAACCTAGTAAATGACAAGGTGAGAATCCCGACGACAACAACCCTTTGGCCGTCATCTACCCAGCACTCTCGACCTGAACGTAAACCTCTGCTTCTCCTTGACACCCGTAAATGCCTCATTCATCCATGCCCGCGTCGTGTCCCGATCAAACATGCCAAGCCGCTCAAATCCATCGTTTATCCGGCGTAGCGCGAGACAGAAATGTACGCCCCTATATCAAACGAATTCCGCTCGCAAGCAGAATACCGCAGCTCCCTCCTCCATCTCGGTGAATCCCGATTCCAGATCCGGGTCATCGGCGAGGAACGAGACGACAGCAACGTAGTCGGCCAGCGGCTGAAACGCGGCGTATTTCCTCCCCGAGCGCTCGACATGTACGAACTTTCTTTGCGCTACTAACCCCTCCATCTCAAGGCTCGCTTTGCCCTGGATGGCACCAAATGGATCCTTTCCCAAAAGAGCGGCTGAAATGCCCACCAATCCTAGGTCATCAGGGTACACCCGCGGACACGCTGAGTACATCTTGATATAATGCCCGTCCGACACCCACGGCCACGGCGGAAACTCTGCGCCCGGTGCGAGAGAAATCCGCCGAGCCCTCCGCCCCTGGCTGGAGAGGCACATCAGGTCATGCACCAGCGTCGAGGACCACATGCCGGCCACGTACCGCCCCAGCTGCGGATGCGCGGTCCCGTATTCCCTCGCGATGCCCGCCAGTGCCGGCAGCTTATCCGAGGCAAAGGAAATGGCGTATCCGGAATACTCCTGGATGATCTGGTGTCAGTAACGCATCAACTCCCTGATATTACTGTCATTTTGGCTCGGATCTCGCTTTCGGAGGGCATCGGCGTGTGTCAGTTTACGATAGTTTGTGGTCTCGCCGGGTCCGGCACCGTGACCGCTACTTCCGATCCAACCCCGCCCCCCCCCCCCCCCCCCCGGGCGTTGTTGTGGCATTCGCACGATGGCGGTGAGCTGCGAGTGGTAGAAAGCCGGCGCGGAATGTCGAAGGGCTCTGCGCACTCAAAGTATACCTCGTACCGTGTGAAGTGGATCACGCGCCGCGAGAGAAGACGTTCCTGGTAGACCCAGGCTCGACCAAGAATGGGCAGCGCCTGGGTCATCTGGTACACTCCCTCGCTGACCCATGTCCGGTGCTCGGGGATCCTCCGCACACCGCAGCACGTCGTCCCGTCGCTGCCGAGTGAGGATACGTCTTCACAGGCGGCACCCTTCCAAAAGAGACCCTCGGTGCTGTCCGCTGCCCAAGAGGCGGCAAGAGTCGCATAAGCGCCCCAGTAAATGTCGCACATTTGTGCCGCCTTGACTTGCCAGTCCTGGAGGTCATCTTGGACAATGCAGTAAGAGTTGCCCAATCGATGCGTTGTGACAACCGCGTCTTGAACGTCTTTGGCAGGCTATCCCATGCGACATTTTCCTTCTGGTGGGCAAGGTTACCCTTGCGCGTTCTGTATGATGGTGTCGCAGGGCCCTAACAGTGGCTTATAGTTTGCTAGTCTATTCATGTCAAAATCAAACTAAAAACTCTAAGCCAAGTAATACAAGCACTTAAGTCCCTCTACTAGTAGTGTAGCTATACCCTTATACAGGATTAGTTACTAATCTTGCCTAGCTGCGTCTACTTGTAGTGTTGCCTATAACAACCTAATCTTTAGCTAGTTATATGTAATCAGGATGCGCAAGTAATTCTACCTAATACTGTAGACAACCTATAGCCCTTATACACTAAATAATAATACCTATTATACGATTAAGATAAAGGCTAGAGCCTTATATAGGTTTAATTATCAATTACTACTTGTCTTTAGACAGTCTAGTAGACCTATTAATAAGAGATACATAAGCCTTGTTATTTAGTAGGTGTAGGGTTATAAAGCGTAACCGTATTGTAATCTTAGCTAGTACTAGATATAGGGTAAACCTAGTACTAGCTAATAAGCATTTTGATTACTAGGATTAGCTTACAAGAATGAAACACCTATTATGTTCTAGCTATGATTTCTTTAAAGAAAAAGGGCGAGAACAAACCGTAAAGATAATACATCTGTTTTATAGACCGTCAAACGTAGGGAAAGTGGCTCTTAGGACTGGCCACTACGATTTAGGCGCCAAGGCAATATCCATTCATTGCCCTATGTTACGGTACGTCCCTCGTGATCCGCTCCCGGGGCTCCTTGGTCCAAGTATGGTGACTTGGTGCAGGCGACGTGGTCTCAGTGCATGGTCTTATCTTCTAGTGACTTAGGTTCTGACTTGACCCAGACGTGAGTTCAGAGTGAATGGCATTCTCCGCATGTTCGATCGAGCACACGAGCACAGCTTTCGTGGTCCGCGGTCTAGATGTCGATGTTCTCGATATGTGATGCCTCGTTGTACCAGACATGCAATCGGGGGATGGGCTGGCAAGCCCGATCACGCCAAGCTGTAACGTACGTGTCTCCTCTCTCGATAGCATAACCCGACTAGGCGACGCTTCTTCTACACCAGCGCAAACTCGGTCTGGGTCCTGAAGTAGCCAACGTCTCTTGCCGCAATTGTGTGCATACATGTAGTCTTCCCAGTATTGTGGTTCTTCGATATCGCTCCTTCGCTTCCCAGTTGGCCTTGCCGGAGACGTCGATGTCTGCGCGGTGAGTCCTGCATGGAGCGCGCTCGCTGACAGTGGTTACATGATAACGACATGTGTAGGCGGCGCCTCAGGGGTTACTCCAAACAAGGTGGGTGTCTCTCACCAGACCTCCTAGAGTTCGCGAATTCTCTGCTCTCTTCGCTTGGTCAATTTGGCGTAAAACTCTTCTTGACAAAGGCAAGTCTCACGACAGTCTTGAACACAGTGGAAGGCAGTAGGGTCTTGGATAGCGCACGTGCTAGTATCGAAACGATCATATAGGGTGATAAATAGGGTTTCATGAGGTAATTGAAACCTCCACGATAGGAAGTGTGTTTAAACTTAATGACGATTCTAGATAATAGCACAAGCGAGATCTATTGTACGGCCAGGCCCTTAACCGCCCCATAGAAAACAACAATGAAGAAACAGCATATTCTACATGCTACAATTGAAACATTCCAAAGCAGCGGTTTTCTGATTCTCATGCATTGGACTTTGCGCAACCTGCCTCGACATCTTGACCGAGAACTTCGGGCTCAATCTGGCCGTCGTCACTACTAAGGGGTGTGTATTCGGAAACAGAAAACGAGAAGCGACCAGTCTGGGGAGTGTTCCGGCAGTGCGAGTAGTGAGGGCAGTTACAGCTGCGGTTGACGAAAAGTCGAAGAGCCCGAGGGAGAACGATGAACAGATGAACACCCCTAGCACGATTCAGTCAGCATCCGCTGTGGATGTTCGAGTCCCTGGCAAGTGAGCACTCACAGAACAAACATCATGAGCATGGTGCAGTATGCTCCTAGGGCGATGACAGGCTTGTCATACACATGTGTCAGACTCATCCAGCTTCAAGCTGTTGGTGATCAATGTTCACTAGGGTAATTGATCGGGCATATGAGTATCTTATATAATGCCCCTTCTCTCTTTCTCTCTCATACACGGGCAACCAGCACTCCATAGGCGCCTGATACAACATCAAATCAACAGTTAAGGTTCTGTTGTAAGTTCGTAATTGGACAGACAAGATGAAACCGAGCCCCATACAAGTCAGGTGCTGTGAATCAACTTGTGGCATGATAGGCCTCAGGAGGGGGACAGGCCAGAAATCCTACGTCTGCCATGCTGACCACCGTCGATCTGCTTGGTGTCAAATTCTCTCAAAGCATTTTTTTTGCAAGTGTGCGACAGCTCGGGCGTCCTAGCTAATGAGCTTTGACAGAGTTGGTGCAATTCGTGCCGATCCGTCTGTGGCACTATGGCTGCGCCAAGCTCCTCCTGCTAGACTTTAGACTCGTTTTCGATCACGTCGATAGATACTTCGGCTCTAGTATGGCACGCAGTATTGAACCAACATGTAGTAGATCTTATATAGCCAAGGCTGTGTATCACTCGGGCGGAGAGCAAAGTCAGTGAGGTGCTGAGCATTACAATTGGCCTGATGGTGCATGTAGAAGCATTTGACTTGTACGGAACAAATAATAGAAACAACAGGCTCAGCAATAGTATAGAGACAAGTGGAAACATACAATGCACATCGAAAATATCAGATATTGCGCACGACTCTCTGATAATCACATTGAGCACCAAAAGAGGCAGGGAGTTTCTGTTGGACGAACGAATGAACTAAATCTCAGCCATAGATTGTACGTCTCGGCAACCCTGGCTCGTCTACGACATTCCCAAAATCAAACCCTTTATCCAGATACTCTTTCGACTCCTTAGACTCAGCATCAACTGCATTCAGATTACGTCCCAGCCAGGCACAGTCATAAAATGTAATGCATGCCCACAGTTTGATAAAAGAATGGACATAGGCAAAGATAAGTTGGCAAGTCAGCAGAGGAATGTCAGCGGGGTAACGCAGTATGTGCGGCCACAGCTTGATTGTTTTGGACCACAGAATCCAGAGCACAAGCTTGAATACGCTCACAGAGAAGAGCCCGTTGCTCCAAGTCGAGCGGGCGAGAGAGAGGATTAACGCCGCGTCCCAGAGCAGGGCAAAGTTGAAGAGCGCGGCCCCGTACACTGCAAAGTAGGTAAATGGCATGCGCCAGGTGGAAAAGTCCGAAACGCGCCTCAGCATGCAAGGATTGCTGCGGAACGTCGTCCTGGCCCAGCGGACGAGCTGGCCCCTGAACTTGGCCGCCGACTCATCGCCCAGCGTCGTCTCGATAGTGCAGTCTTTGGTGTCCTGGAACTTGATGTCCCATCCGTGCCTGTACGCCTCGCGGGTGAGGAAGTTGTCGTCGTCGGGACCGAGGCCCTCCTTGCCGCCAAATAGCCCGAAGAAGAAGTGCTCGTTGCAGTACCTGTGCATGAGGCCGCTGGATCTGAGGAGCCTGGTGCGGTAGACGGCGGTGCGGCCGGAGACGACGAAGACGCCGCCGTCGATGGCGTTGGAGGCGCGGAGCTCCCAGTTGTGGCGGAGAAGGTAAAGACATCCGATCAAGTTGATAATGGAGGATATGGACCACTCACCGGGCGTTGTGCGGCGGACACGCTTGTGCGTCGCTACTATACCTACGTTCACATCTTCGAAAGGGGCGAGGGCTGCAGGGATGAAATCGCGACTGGGCCAGAAGACGTGGTCGTCGGCCAGGACGGTGAACTCGGTTCGGACATGGGCTACGGCGTGGGCGATCTGGCGGCGCTTGGAAGGGTGGAGGATGGCGCTGACACCGATCTCGGTCGACGGGTACTCGCGACGATAGGCTCGGGCGGCTGCCTCAGACTGCGCCCGCATCTTGGCGCCAACGGTCACGATGAGGACCGCAGCCGGGCGGTTCTCGAGAATAGAGAGGATGCACTCGTCGAACTTGGGGCTGTCTACGTCAATCGTGGGGAGGATCACAGTGACGTCGCGGCGGCCCCAGGTCGGGTGGCGGCTGAGGGGCGCGGCTTTGTACCGCCATGACCCCCAGATGTTGATGATGAGCCTGGTATAGCGGAGGAAGAACAGGAAGGTGAACGCGGAGGTCCAGTATTCTGGCGTTTTGCTCTGGATTGCGGAGGCCGCTTCAGAAATGTAATGGCTAAGGTCTGGACCGGTAAGCTTCCACGCAAATGACAAGAGGGTAAGTACCGGATGTGCGAAAAGAAATCGTAGCGGTACAGTTATGAGGAATCCGAGAGAAGTCAGAACAGAACTAACGGCTCTACGGGCTCGAGGTTGAGCTGGTCGTTTCCCGGTCTGGTTTTCCGGCATTGTATTAATTCTAGGGAATGCGTTTGGTTGCTCTGTTCTTCTGGAAGCGATGGTCGGTATTTTGGTGTGTCTTGTATATGGCAAAGCTTGCCTTCTCTGGTAGAATATCAAATCTGGTTAGAGTCTGTAAACGGTCGTGTAAGTTGAAATTGTTGCTGGATAGTAGTCTCTTTCAATCAACGGCACCAGTGCTATTATATGTCGAAGTCATGATAGTTTCCCTCCATCACCCTTAACAAAGCCTGCTTATTTGGAAACAACAACATTGTTTTCAAGAAACAAGAACGTCTTCAGTATTTTTAAAAGATCTCCTTTATTGTTTGCACAAGTATCGCCGGGCGGACTCGGGCCTCTGGTGAGAACACAATGCGTCTTTGTCTCCCAGTACACCCAGTAATACATGTCTTCGTTTGGAGACGTGGCAATACTGGTAAACTTATCATCGCAATGCGGGCGTCTGAAAGACAAGAATCCTTTTATTGAAGAAATTCCTTTTGTGGAAAGGAACAGAGGCAAACACGAAATCGAACACAGGGGAATAAACAAAAAACTGCCAAGTTACTACACGTGCAAAAAATAATACAGACACAACAATCGAACGTTGGGCTGTATGAATTGCAGTATCTTCTCTATCTAGAGCCAGATAACGCCCGTAGTTTCTAAAGGTGAACTTTTTGCAAAGGCTTATATGGCACTTTCCAAATGGATTACTATTGGATTACCAGATATGGAGGACTGTGAAGACGTCGATACTTTTACATCGATGCCCACAAGGCCAAAAAACAACTGAGTGCCAGCTGTTTCATGAGAAGAAACTTGGATAAAATTTAAGAAGTAAATGGACAATTGAAGTAAACAACTTTTGCTCGGTTCGACTGCTTAGATGAATCAAGGTATCTAAGTAAATCATCCATTCTTTATCCAAATATGATCGACACTTTTCAGTGCCATTATATGAGCTACGCCTAGTAAGTTATTGCATCATAGGGCGGGCGTCCTCGACCATCTCGCTGGATCCAAAGTACTTGTCCAGCTCATTCTCGAGCTCCCTTCCCTCCACCTTGCGCATCTCTTTAGCGCGCTTGACGGGGTTGACCTTGTCGGCGTGGGCGCTGGCGAAGATGACATCGAGCTCCTCGAGACTTCGGCCCTTGGGCTCCGGGAAGAAGAAGTACACGCAGGGGATAATGGCTGCGTTGAAGACGGCGAACATCACGTACGTCCTGTAGCCTAGGTTGGCAAATGCAGGTGGTGTGATCATGACAATCAAGAAGTTGGAGAGCCAGTTGGAGCAGGTTGAGAGGGCGTTGGCCTGGATGCGGATACGGAGGTTGGTGATCTCAGCGGGGTAGAGCCAGGTCATTCCGAGCCAGCCTGGTTTGATGTTAGTCAAGAATTTGCAATATTATAGAGAGGGAGGGCAGCTTACCAATAGCGAAGAAGGAGTTGAAAACAAAGAGGAAGACCGTAGCAGTAATTCCGTACACGGACTCGAGTTTAGGCGCGCCAGTCTCGTCGACCGTGCCAGTAGACACGGTCCCAGCCAGAATTGCCATAGAGGCCATCATACCGAATGCGCCGAAGAGCATGAGCTTGCGGCGACCAGTTCTCTCAATCAGAGGCAGAGCAACAAGCGAAGCCAAGAAGTATTCCGTGCCGTTGAGCGCGGCCAAAAGCCGGGACAATTCGGGGCCGAAACCGAGGGAGTTCTCGAACAAAAATCCACTGTAGTAGGTAATGAGGTTGATACCTAGTCATCATGCGTCAGCAACTGAGATCCACGACTGCGGAGACATATAGACAAATGAACGTACCGCAAATTTGCTGGAAAAACTGCGCAGCAATGCCGAGGAGGGTGCGCCTCAAGTTCTGCGAGGGGCCGTTGGTGAGAAGCTCCTTGAACTTGAAGCTTCCGCCTTGGCTCTGGGCCTCGAGGGCCTCCTGGATTGCCTTGACCTCGATGGTGACATCCTCGTGATCGATGGGCTTTCCGAGAAGACGGGATGTCACTTCTCGAGCCTCCTCCATGCGGCCCTTCATAGCCAACCAACGGGGCGAGTCGGGCAGGTAGAGAAGACCGATCATGACGATGATAGTGAAGAAAGACTGGAATGAGACGGGGAATCGCCAGCGGATCGATCCCTCGAGGAAGTAGAACCCGTACTACACGCTTGTTAGCGGCTGTACATCATGCTTCAGCCTTCGTGTTGGAGAAATGGGTCACTTGCATCAACCCAGTAGGCAATGGCAATACCGCAGCTTATGAGGGCTCCGGAAAGGGTGATGAGGAAACCTCTTTGATACGGCCGTGCACACTCAGATTGCCATGTGGGAATAGCTGCCAACATGATTAGCTTGGCCGACAGAAAGTCACCAATGTCGACTTACTCGACGTCACCATGCCGTTTCCGATGCCACCGACGATGCGGCCCGCAGAAAAGAGACCGTACTCGTGCGCAGAGGCCTGCAGGATAGTTCCGAAAACCATGATGGCGCTGCCCCAGAACGTGGACGACTTGCGACCCCATCTTTCTCCATGAAATAGGATGAGAACCGCGCCCAAAAAGCAGCCGATCTGGTACACGGCGACCGCAGCGGCTTGCGTGTTGGGGTCTCCGGTGCACTGGCTGTAGTCACGCTGGGTGTTCTCAGGGAAATCTAGCCAGCAGAGTTGATTCGACTGCTCCAGCGGCGTCATCAGGGCAATGCTCCGTTGGAAGTCGTCGAGGGTGAGTAGTGAACCGAGGACACCTGAGAGGGGCGATGAGAATTTGTAACTGTTCAGGGTCTCTGCTACACTGTGAAGCCGAGCTCACTCACCCTGGTCATATCCAAACATGAGGAAACCACAAGACGCGATGAATCCAATGGACCAGTTGAGCACCTTGCCCTGAAGGCGCTGGCCGCGGAAGCCCCATTCGGGCAAGTCGCCCATGCGGGCGAGGAACCCCTTGGACTTTGGTTTCTCGTTGGCGGCGCGTCTGCTGTCGACCGGCGAGGGCGTCCGGCTTCCGCTGTCGCTAGGCTGCTCGCGCTTCTCCTGCTTCTCGGACATGTTGGGCTCAGCCGCGACGGCAGCCGTGTTCTGGTCGGCCATATTGATCACCCGCACCAAGCTTCTTGGTAGCAAAAGAGGTAATGATAGGGTAATACCACTCGTTCTTGGAAGGAGATCTTGGTTGAAACAGTGACGGCGGGATGCAGGCGCGCCTTTGTACTCGCTCAGTTCTCGCCCCGTGCCAATATCTTTCACCGACCCCGTGGGTCGTGCTAAGACCGCATCCTCGATGGCGGAAGACTTGGCTGAGGTCATGTCGGGAACGCTGGAAGTTGGACGGGCAATATCACCATAGAGCAACACCCCATGCGGCTCGGAGGCGTCCAACGATATCCACACTTCTCCCCAGACATGCAGTCTTGGTTGTTGGATGCATTGGGGCCACGTTCTCGTCGTGGGAGAAGGACCGACTTTGGCCCATCGTTAGAATCCATGCCTGCAACCACATGACTTTGTTTTCTTTGAAGGTTCCCTCAAACGCCCTGCTGATCTTTGTAGTACAGATACCTACCTTACATTACGTCTCCCTCTTGACAGTCAGCAGTTAAGGTAACGCGACACCTGTGTACAGATCAATATCCATCTTGGTCCACAGAATTTCCAGTCATCAGTTAACAACGAGCCCCGCGACCGGAGGTGGATCGTGGAAACCATCGCCCAGCCCGCCTGGTTGAAGGAGGCAGCGGCATCCTCCCGCACGGAATGCCTAACAAGGTAAGCCGAGGGCTGGGCGGTCCGAGACGTTTTCTTAGGGAAAAAGGGGGAGGAAGAAGAAAACGATGTGAGCTGGAAGCGCCGAGCCTGGGGGGAGGAGCTTAAGACCCCTTTTCTCTTGGTGTTTTCTCGGCGGGCATGGTTCGGGCGTTGGCGATGACGTTGGCCAAGTTTTAAGCTTAAATCTCTAGTTGGCTGCCGTCGGGCTTTTCGATATCCACGGGTCCTTGGTTCCTCCACTTCCAAGTCAGAGTGTGCGGAGCCTCCGTCTTGGCGAGTCTTGGGAGGTCGCCTGCGTGCTTTTTGTGTGGTCTGTCATGAACGATGTAGGCCGAATACCGCCTGCATGCTTTCTGTTGGTTCGGCTCGAGAGATGGGGAAAACCGGCGTGATCGGTGAGAAGGAAGAAAGAAATAGATAACGAAATGCAGGTCGGATCCCCGATAATGCGCGCGTAACCTGCGTCTGGGTGTCTCGGAGGGTTGGCCATAAGTATGTGCTGGAGACCCTGGATTACGCGATGCAATGGCTAAAGGATCGTGGAAGCTATCATGCACCGCGCGCAGCTAAGACATTGAAAAGCAAGCCTATCGTCAGACAAGATACCTCCAAAGTCGCTACCCTTACCTGTATGATTCCTATTTGTCAAAGCCTCAAAGGAATGAGCAGCATGTTGGAGGTTCCGTAGGCGTCTTGCTCCGCTGTCAACCGTCATCCGGGGTCCGGGGAAGTCGAAATAACGGCATGTCAACTCGTATACATTCCTGTGGATAGCCTTCACTTCATTCAGTCCTCCTGAAAAGTGGGCGGTTTCCAGTCCGGCCTTCGTGACCGGAACTGCTTCTCGGCAGATAAAGACAGGGAGGTAACTGTCTTTTTGCTTTTTTGATCCAGTCCAGCGTGACGAGCATATGATGTACTCCTAGTCACCAAAGCCATTCATCCGCAATAGCCGACAGATTGATGGACAAATTTGTGATTGGCTGCTATGATTTTTGACAGCTGCTGTATGTTTATTGACTTGTATAAGTTGATAAATCTTTAACTTAGGACCCACGGGGTCATATAGCCCTCTCCTCACCAACCATCGAGTTATCTGTTCCGTAATGGGGCACTTTACGCAGACGCCTCACTGGTTGTACAGAATGATACTAGATCAGCGAATGCCGTATTCGTAATCACCTTCGTCTGACATCTAAGTCAGCTTCCTACCATGTAGCTTAGCGAGGATAAAGTCTTTATTAGTTCTCTCCCGTGCTCCTTTTCTGCTAGAAACTTCAAAACATTGATTACGCAACCCGTTTATTTAACCTTCAGCACAGCCTTGCCAAAGTTCTTGCCGGTAAGCATGCCGATGAAGCCGTCCGGGGCATTGTCGATACCCTCGGTCACGGCCAGCTTGGCCTTGACACTGCCTTCGGAGAGCCACTTCTGCAGGTTCTCCTGGTGTTCCTTGAAGTACGCGGGACCAAACTTGGGGTTACCGACGAGGAAACCCTGCAATGTGATCTGTTTAGCAATAACCTGTATTAAGCCTTTGATGCCCTTCTGCTGATCTGCTGGAGTATTATAGTCGGAGATCTGTGGCGCGGATTAGCTCCCATTTCAGCGGAGGCATGTCCATAATCCTCCTGATCGAGGCACTCACCATGCCGCAGAGGGCGATGCGTCCCTCGGAGTTCATGGAGGCGAGAGCCGCCTCGAAGTGGTCTCCGCCCACGTTCTCAAAGTAGATGTCGATGCCATTGGGGGCCAGCCTGGGGAGAGCGTCGCCGGGCTTCTCGTTCTTGTAGTTGAAGCCGGCGTCGAAACCAAGCTCTTTGATGATGAAGTCGAGTTTCTCGTCCGAGCCCACAGACCCAATGACGGTGAGGCCCTCCCGCTTGGCAATCTGCCCGACAAGCTGTCCCACGGCCCCGGCGGCGGAGCTGATAAAGATTGTCTCACCCTTCTTGGGCTGTCCGATCTTGTGAAGGCCAGACCAGGCGGTCAACCCGGGCATGCCAAGGGGGCCGAGGAAGAGGGCTAGGTCGAGGTTGGAGGGGTTCTGGACCTTGCGCGCCTGCTGCAAGATGGTGGGCGGCACGAGGGCGTACTCCGCGATGGGCGTATGGGCGACTACAAGGTCGCCCTCGGCGAAGTTGGGGGCGTTGCTCTTCAGGACCTTGCTGACGGTGCTGTTGGTGACGGGGCCGTCGACCTCAAAGGCGGGCGCGTAGGACTTCTTGCTGGGGTCCCTCATGCGGCCGCGCTGGTAAGGGTCGAAGGACGCGTAGAGGATCTCGACGACCAGGCCGTTCTCGGGCGCGACATCGAGGTTAATCGGACGGTCCTCGACGGTGAGGTGCTCCCCCGCCACAGGCAGGCCGGTGGGGATCTTCTTGTGGATGAGAGTCTTGTTCTGCGTCATTGTGAAAAGGCGAGATTTGGGTATTGAATCTTGAGCGAGAGTATTGTCTTGGGGCTGTGGTGTTAAGTTGATTGATGGGCTCACAAGGGGGACGCGAATCAGTGAAATAGACGTCCGTTTGAGCTGCTTTGACGTGATTTATGCGGAAACGACCCCGCGCACATATTCCGGTCGTCGGCCCCGCCTTGGGGACCTGACGAGCTTCCAATTGGGGGCCGAGGGATAATGACGTGATGTTGATTATTCATCAGGTCCGACTGTTGCACATGAAGAGGCTATCACGACTGATAGTATGTGTTAACGGCAGCAATTCCTTTTTAGAGTTGTGTTTTCTTTTGTTTTTCGTTTTTACTGTTTTACAGGTCATAAGTGTGAGGCTATTTCGAAAGGCAGAGTCAGCTTGGTTCGGGATCGACTAGATAACACACTTATGTCAGAAAAACTCTTGGCAATATAACATGTCAGCAATATCAGTCTATCATGATTATTCTGTTCTAGTGCAACTAACCGGCAGAAGCGAATGCACAGAAGCAGTCGGCCTAATCGGTCGTTAGGGCTGCAACGTGACTCTTACGTACAGGGTGTTATACCTGGCTTCTGCAATAGTACGCCAAGTGATTGCTGCCATCATCTATAGCAGAAGTCGAGCCACTTGGAAACCAGATATGGATGGATTGGTAGGGAATAGCTTTCCAATCGACATGTCTCTACACTCATTGAAGGCCTTTCGAGTTCAATCGCGACGTTAAGGGCTTATTCATTAAGCCGATGACAACAAGAGAGCCGTCTGCAACTAGAGCAGAACTTTGTAGATTTTCTCTGATTTGGATATGCTAAGCGCATACTACTAAGCAGACCAACCAGGGGGTCCTGTAGTACGTGAGGACCAACGCCCGGCAGGTATGGCACTCGGTCTCGACCGTGGCTATGGGCAAGGAAGCGGATGTCGCGTCTGGCAAGGCAGTGGTCGACAGCCGCGGGCGCGTATTCGGTGTCCAGAGGCTGAGAGTGGCTGGTGCAAGCACTTTTCCCTTTGCTCTCCCGTGGCACCCTCAGTCTGCTGTGTATACGCTGCCGGAGAAGGCTGCGGACGACATCATAACAGGTGGTTAACTTGCCGAGGCACAGAATCAACAGCAAAGTGCTTCACACAAGTATAGATGCCCATATGCGGATATGGAAGTCATCATTCCCGAGATAGAGGGTAGTATTCACTCAACTCATAGCCCCTTTGCCCCCTCCGTAGATCTCAACTGCTTCGATTTATCATCAGTCTTTTTTGAAGTCAAGCAGACTTTTCAGTCCAAGGGAGCCATGCGGAGACGCAAACCGACCGCGATCCACCCTCCAAACGGAGCGTACTTTGAGAGCACAGTCCTAGACAACCCATGTAGTACGATGTTGCGCGACACCCGCGGCAAACATTCACCGCTACTTGTAGTTGGACGGCGCTCGATCCCTTTCTGTCACCGCTATTCAATGGCGAAAACCCCCTGCTGCGACTACACTTGTGCGCATCGTGAAGCATGCGCACAGGTTCGGGTCGGTGAAGTTGCGAGGAGAAGCAGAAGAGGGCCACAATTTGCCGATCCAAAGTTTTTGCTGTTGGTGGCGGGGTTGGGCAGCGCCGGACCGGGGTGCTTGCACGTGTTCCGGAACTGGGTCATTGATTGTTAGCTTACTTTTTTTTCTCTCTTTTTTTTTACTTTGACTAGGGATGGAGACGAAACCATGGGAAATAAGGCTGTTGACCGGGCCGTGGTGAGGCGAGGCGCATGATTTCCGGATCGATCCGAGATGGGAAGCTTGTGCACGTACTACATCAGGTGCCCGGTACTTCGAGGACGACATAAGAAGGTGATTATGGTCTGCTGCTTGGTGACAAAAGCAAGATGAATTGGGTATAAGGGGACTA